GGTACAGATGTTACTAAACTACTGTGATTGGTACAGATGTTACTACACTACTGTGACTGGTACAGATGTTACTACACTACTGTGATTGGTACAGATGTTACTAAACTACTGTGAGCGGTACAGATGTAACTAACCTACTGTGATTGGTACAGATATTACTAAACTACTGTGATTGGTGCAGATGTTACTAAACTACTGTGATTGGTACAGATGTTACTAAACTACTGTGACTGGTACATATGTTACTACACTACTGTGACTGGTACAGATGTTACTTAGCTACTGTGATTGGTACAGATGTTACTCAACTACTGTGATAGGTACAGATGTTACTACACTACTGTGACTGGTACAGATGTTACTACACTACTGTGACTGGTACAGATGTTACTTAGCTACTGTGATTGGTACAGATGTTACTAAACTACTGTGATTGGTACAGATGTTACTTCACTACTGTGATTGGTACAGATGTTACTAAACTACTGTGACTGATACAGATGTTACTTAGCTACTGTGACAGGTACAGATGTTACTAAACTACTGTGACTGGTACAGATGTAACTAAACTACTGTGACTGGTACAGATGTTACTTAGCTACTGTGACTGGTACAGATGTTACTAAACTACTGTTACCGGTACAGATGTTACTTAGCTACTGTGACAGGTACAGATGTTACTAAACTACTGTGACTGGTACAGATGTTACTAAACTACTATGACTGGTACAGATGTAACTAAACTACTGTGACTGGTACAGATGTTACTTAGCTACTGTGACTGGTACAGATGTTTCTAAACTACTGTGACTGGTACAGATGTTACTAAACCACTGTTACCGGTACAGATGTTACTTAGCTACTGTTACCGGTACAGATGTAGAACGCTTCACATTATATTACTACTGTATTATTCGAACAAAACGTATATAAAGCAACAGTACAAACGTGAATAGAATTGTTTACTACTGCAAAATGGTGGCAGACATATATAGTTTATAACTTAACTGACTATGTCCATCAAGCAAACATTTTGTCATCATGAGGAAACGGATTAATGTAAGTTTTCGAAACTTGTTTCCGGGTCCTTTTCCATTTGTGCACTAAGTTGTATATGTATTTTAATTATTATGCTTGGAAGGAAAGAAATACATTCTTTAGTAACTTATTCAAAAATAATATAATCTGTGTAGCAGTTTAGGGTAACCAGATATGAACAAAACAACTAGTAACAGTAGTTTAGTAACGTTGGTACTACTTTTGAAAAAAACAACTTTTAATGGATAGAATAGACGTTAACATTCCACAATATTTGAAGGTTGTTCGCTGATCAAATACGGTATCTAAAACTTATAAATAAAAACTGAAATAATGAACGTATATTTAAGGGCATATACTCCAAACATTGAGAAATTACCATTTTACGACATGCATTGCATACAAAACATCCCTTTGTATAACCACATTTTCTGGTAGGTGGACACTATCACATATCACTAGGATCCGGTTGTGGAATGATAAATTATCATATTGCCCGCGTTATTTTCAAGGTGACATTGAATATATAATCTGTGTCATCTTTATGTTTAGTCAGAAGTCATAGAGTAAACTTACGACCCAGATGGAACACATCATTTAAGCTGACATCGCAAACTAAGAACCATCAACGAATTGCTCAAATATTTTTGTATATATGCAGATACATATTCTGTAAAAAGGATGTCGCTCTTATTCGCTACACCGAGACATCTCCCCATTTAACAGGAAGTCGTTTTCCCAAACTGGCAATGGTTTTTAAACGTGAATCTCTTGGACCTTTTAAATGCCCCTTACCTAGATAATTTTCGCTGTAATTCCTCATAATCAAAACAGAAATCGCTTAATTTTCACATCTTTATGTTTTTGTGTGTGTGATATTTTCCAAAGTCAATTTAAGGCACAGACCGCTGTGGGGGTGATGATAGAACTCATCCCTGGTACACAGGAAGTCGCCGCTCAAGTGACATTCCCTATAAAACAGGAAGTCACTCATATTTCCTACACCGGGACATCAGAATCCCCTTCTAAGAAGAAGTCGCTCGTCACAGTATATTTCAAACACTGAGATATATAATTTCCGACATGGAGACGTCTCCTGATATTCCTACACCAAGTTTCCGCTGTTTAACAGGAAGTCCGTCTTATTTTTTTTTTAGTTATTTAGTCTCTAAAATCAATTATATTTAAATTAATAGGTATTTCTGTACAATCGTTATGGTATGGTTGTTTTCATCGCCTGTAGCATGCTTAGAAAAATAAAGTGACTAAATCTTAATTATAGATTAGACTTTAGAGACCACACTATACTCATATTAAGAACTAAAAAAGGTTTACCTGCAAGTAAATGACGTAAACTGTCATTACAAGTAATCTCAAAACACCCCTAAATATACACCACAGATATTGTTTTACCTGTTTACCTCTTCTTCGACACCGTTGTTAGCTAAATTGCTAATATAGGCGCATCTTGGTTTGGTAACATACTGTTAACCGGTTGTGTAGCATAAAAACTAGGATAAAACTTGGACGGTATATTTTTCCAACAGATGTTTAATCTAGATTTAAAACAGTTAAGAGAAGGGGCTTCTACTACTGAATTGGGAAGGGAATTCCAAGAATCCACCACTCTTCTGCTAAAAACATTTTGAGTGACCCTGGTCCTGCTCTGTTTTTTGAATAGTTTTTTGTTGTTACCCCTTGTTGTTGTTTGTGTGAATGTGAATAGTTTATCTTTATCAAGAATGTCGATGTTGTTTATTATTTTGTAAACTTCTACTAGGTCATTTCGTTTTCTTCTGTATTCCAGTGTAGGTAAGCCTAGTCGTAGTATTCTTGAATTGTAAGAAAGGTGTTTTAAAGATTGAATTCTTTTGGTAGCTCTACGCTGCACATTTTCTAAAGCTATTTGGTCCTTTTTCAGAAAAGGGGACCAGACCTGGGTGGCATATTCTAAGTTGGGCCTAATGAGACTCTTGTAAAGTGCAAGAAACATAGTTTTGTCCATATAGGTAAATGTCCTAAAGATTAATCCTAGTGTGCGATTAGCTTTGTTAATAGATTGACTTACATGGTGGTTAAATTTCAATTTGTTGTCAATTATAACACCTAGGTCTTTTTCTTTAGTAACTTTCTCAATCTGTTCACCTGAGGGGAAGTAGTATGTAGAATCTTGATTTAGGTTACCAATATTTAGATGTTTACATTTTTTGGTGTTCAATTTCATTTTCCAATCTGATGTCCATTGGACAATGTTATTGATATCAGTTTGTAGTTCTGCAGACCCTGTTTGCCTAGAAATGTTTTTGAACAGTTTTGAGTCATCAGCAAAAAGTTTTACTACACTGTGTTCGACTATATCAGGTAGGTCATTGACATAGATTAGGAAAAGAACTGGACCAAGGACACTACCCTGGGGCACACCACTCGTTACATCCACCAGACCAGACAATTCCCCATTAATGGATACTCGTTGTTTTAGATTTGAAAGGAAATCTTTAATCCACTGGAGGATTTTACCAGTTATTCCGTAACCTTGGAGTTTTTTTAGTAATCATTTGTGAGGGACTTTGTCGAATGCTTTTTTGTTCTTGTTTAAGGCCAGAAGCTTCATCAATCTAATCAAAATTAGACTTACAAGTAATTCCGCTCCTTTACGATTCACTCCAATACAGCGTGTGAGGAGCGGAATTACAAATCTAATCTCGATTAGACCCCGCTAGATTGGACACACATAAATATGAATTCTTTCTTCAAATAGAAACTAGCTCTGTGGTTTATATTTATTAAGAGTGTTTTGAGAGTTTAAGCCTAATGTCCATCGAAATTTTGTTTGAAAATCAACGAATGTTGACGGGAAACAAATCACCGCCCTATATTTGACCACGCGTTTTTTAAAAAAAAACATTCCTGGATTTAACATGATCGAACATGAATGCTAAATGATTTGTGTCCACTCTCAACATGAACCAGATACGTGTACATAGGCTGAAGTATAGTCTACTAAAGAAGAGGAATGTATATGCTCATCGCTCCGGTTTTATGTCTATTAACTAAGATCAAGTAACAAAGCAATGGTATTTTTGGATGTAGTTTTAATTATTCAAACAGCTATTCCAATAAATGCTAATTTCATACAAAATGCGGCAAGTAACGTTATAGATTCTCGTACAAGTAATTAACTATAATGAAACCGGGAGTCCATTTCTTTATAAATAAACTCAAAAATGAGATAGAAGACCATAGAATAGAAAAAGTATGTCTATTGTGGTATCTAACACATAATAAAGAAATACCTCTATTCTATTTCTCTCTTGGTTTAAAAATTAAATTTTGCAATGCTCATAAGTTAAATTTTCGCGGTTTATTCCCTTCTAGAGCACTCTCCTGTTTGGAGGGAGGAAATAACAACAGCTAATTAGCATACATACGGCAACATGAGTCAATGGCGCTCTCTGTCAGATTAGAGCGGAAGAAAAACAATGAGAAAAGCTACACATCAACGGTAAGCTACCCTGCCAACTGTATAAACAATCAATATATACATTTTTAAAACATATTTTATCCAATTTGCACGCTGGCATTCTTTTCTAAATTGCGAAAACTTCCACCCAAAATATGTTGATCGCGGTCAGATTCACTGTCTACTGCGCTATGCCGTATGGGGTCGTATGCTCACTTTAATTTTTCATTCGAGTGCAATAAACAAGTTGCCATGTGATCAATAAATTTTCGTGAAAGAATTTACAAAATTCTTATTTATCTTTAGTTACTGTAAGTTTGTGAAATATTTTACTGGAACATCTTGATATCTTCTGCATCTGGCAACATTCTGCCGGCGCCGCGGGTAATACTTTGCTTGTCATCATCACAGGTACTGTAGTCATCATATCGCGACTGAGAGGGAAAAAAACGACAATATGCTTAATAATATACTGTATATTAGGCACATACACGTATTTTTCTCTCTGTCCCAATATAGACCTTTGGTCGTCTTAATTCTTACAGATCTATGCAAGTTGCCATCAGCCATGGCGCATCCGACATCGACGTTGTCTTACAGTTTCCTCGCAGATAGCTTATGAAGTTGTCATCTTTACTTAATTTGGTTAAATGGTGGCAATTTTGATTATGATTATATATGTAACAGGAGAAAGAGAAATACACGGCAAGACCGACATTCAAACCCGGAACCCTCTGAACTCTACCAATCGAGCTACCTAGCTGGTTGTCATGCAATGATCAACCTATAGTCCAGTTCAACGTTACATTCCTCAATCCTCTTTTTTAATATTCCCTTGCCAAGTGTTCACTGTGTGCTTGAAACAAAGATTGGCAAACTCACCAAATTTGTAACAGTTACAGGAGAAATGTACGTCCAGAACGGGATTACGAACCCATCATCTCTTAAACTCGAGATGGGCGCTCTACCAATTGAGCTATCTGGTCGTTGATGAGTGTTGTTGGACGATCAGGAATAATCGATTAACATTTGGTTGGAGCCTACCTATTCCGACGATCGATCATAGTCATGTTTAATCGATCATCGGTAGATCCTGGTCAAACGGCCCAATAGTATTAACCAAAACCAACGCACCAAGCAATGGAAGCTATAACTGTAACCAAAAGGCTTATGGTGGATAGTTTGAGTGATCTACGAGAAATCGATGTAAATCAAGTTTGTGTTCACTATGAAATGTTTGTAGTACTGCCTGAAAACATTAAAATATTTTGAGATAAACAATATTGAATCAGTGTACACGTGTGACAAACTCTGTCTGACAGCCAGACATTTCCAAAATAAAATTCACCTCACACCAGCAAAATGTATCTGATTCCTGCTCGGTAGGATTTCAGGAATTAAAAACTAAACCATAAACCCACACAAAATTAATGAATGAAATATCCATCACTGCAATTTATAAATAAATAATCCCTATCATAGTATTGTAGTTACTGAAAAAAATAACTTTTTTTTTTTCAGAAAAGGTCAACTAGGAAAGAATGATGTCTGAGACAGTATGCTGGGATAAATCTGTTATCGTTTATAAGAGACTTAATGGATGAATTATTTACAAAATGTCAACAAATAATCTAAAATTGTTGTTTCAACAAAAATTCTTTTTGAAATTTTTTTTCTTACCAAGTTTTTGTCCGGTAAAAAGCTTTATTTACCTGCCCGATTGTCCTGCAATAATTTAAAAAGTTTGGCATTAACACTGATATTGTATTCAACATTCAAATGAATTAATGATGTTTCGCAGTTAATAAACTGAGAAATAAGTAAATAACATTCACATTAATAAAGAAGGAATGAAACTTCAAGTCCTGTAGTGTTCTGTTTTATAAGCTCACATGGTCCGAGGGCCAAGTGAGCTAATGCTGTACTGCGGGCCGGTGTCCATCGTCAGTCGTCCGTCTTTCAACTTTTTCTTTTAAACGACTTCTTCTGAAGAACTGGAGGACCTAGGGTCATGATATTTGGCCAGTAAGTGCCTGTGATGAAGTGCTATAAAGTTTCTTCATTAAAATGACTGATCTACTTTCAAGGTCACAGGGGTCAAATATGTTAAAAAATTCAAACAACAATATCCTAAGAACAATTTGGACTATAGTCGTCAAATGTCAACTTTAAGTGCTAGTTGGGGGGGGGGGGGGGGGGGGGATGTCAAAAGTCAACATGGGTTAAAAGCTTTAACAATCTTCTTCTCAAGTTCCAAAAGGCCCAGGGTCATGATATTTGGCCAGTAGGTACCAGGGATAGAGTGCTATAAAGTTTCCTCTTTAAAATGACCTTTACCTACTTTCAAGGTCACAGGAGTCAAAAAATGTGAAAAATGATATCCTAAGAAGCAGTTGGTCTAGAGTCATGATACTTGGGTATGTTATGTAGACTAGCAGTGCAAATCTTTTTCTTATTCACAGTAATGAGGTCAAATGTCAACGTGGGTTTAAAACTTAAAAATTACAATTTTAAATTTCAAACAACAATATCTTGAGAAGCATTTAAGAGATGTTAAAATGTCCTGTGTTCTAGTTACCAAATTTGGTCTGAAGTTACATATATGTCAGTTTCATTTAACAACAGAAACAGGTGAGCAATACAGGCCCTCTGGGCCTCTTGTTTCTTCCTGGTTTAAAAACAAAAAACTGATTATAATCGGAAAATCTGTTATGAAGGTCATCCGATTCCAACCGATGATCAATTCACATTTTCAACCGATTACCCAGCACTATCGTTGATGATCAACCCAGTCCAGTTCTGCTTCATATATTATTGAGCAACTGAAAAAACAAATTTTAATTATATGCATTTAGGTGATTTACTGATTCCGATAAACAATAAGAGTCTGGTGGAGAGGAAGTATATAAATTAATATAGGTAACTATATATAACTATATATAACTATAATGTATATATGCATTAGATTTATATTATAGTTGCCTATAATATAGCTCTATTATCTATAAAAAAGTGAATAGAACAGGGTTCCTCAATCCAAGTCGGCCAAATTTAAAGTAATCCAAGACTTCAAAATTCTAATTTGATGATCTATCCACCCTTGTCGCCTGGTCAAATCTAGTGACAGAAATTGTGAAAGTTTTACAGGTAATTTCAGGAAAATGTTTGGACCTTAATGCAACAAGAAGAAAAAAAGGTTTCATTGGCAAAATAGTTGACCGGAAAAAATAGGAAATCATGATAAAAGTTTTCTTATATTTTCTTGTTATCATTTGCAGGTTCTGATTGTTTATCAATCTTTCCAATGCCATACTGTAAATAATTTGTTAACTTCAGATGCTCGCTAGAAGTTCACATTCATCTTCCCAACAATATGTCAACAACCTGATGTCAAGACATTAGTCAGTGGGTAATGTAGTGTTGGTAGTGAACCTAGCTAGGAGGTGCTTCATAAAATGAGCAAATGTATTGGAGAATTAAATTTTCCTTTATAAGGACTCCTGGGAATACATTGACATGAATTTCAAGGATCTTCCTACAACAGTATTTGTGAATGAAGAATGGCTTCTTTCCCCTTGGAAAATTCAGCTGAAATTCCCAATTGGATGGTGCAATGTAATTTGATGGATACTTCTGGAAAAACTGGTGAACAAATTTAAATATCAGTGTATGAGGAAAGTGGACTTATTATTATTATATACAGTTAGAAAAGGTGAATGTAATTAAAACTCATTTAAGTTATAATTAAGTTTTGGCAACAGTTCTGATTTTTTAAATGAATTTTCTTTCTTTTTTATACGACCGTCAAATTTGACGGTAGTATTATGGTATGGCGTTGTCCGTCCATCCGTCCGTCTGTACGTCGTCCGGCGTAAACTTTGTTTGTCCAGCAATATCCTCCTACATTTTTCGACTGATCTCTTTGAAACTTGGTATACTTTATAATCATGATATATGAAGTTGTGTCTCCCTTAAAATAATTTTTTATTCAACGATTTTTGAAAAATTTATTGCCTTTTGTTCATTTCAGTATTTGATTTTTTGTCTGAAGATTTTCTCCTACATTTTTTATAGCATATCAGCTAACCACTCTTAAAATGATGCAGATCTTATTTCAATGTAAGAAAGTTTATAACACTATATGGCATTTGACGGGCGTATTTTGTTCCGTCCCGCGATACTCTTGTTTAACTGACTATGTTGGGAATTTCAGCTTATTTGGGAGTAACAATGCCCCGTTTTGAATTAATAATCGAGTCACTTTCTAATCTTTTTTTTTAAGGCAGAAAAAACCCTGTATTAAACTGGACATGTTTTACTTTTCAGAATCATGCTTTCAATTCCGGTGTAAAAGGAATCCATGACCACCAATCTCAACCTTACCATGATTGATTTCTCTTCATATGGGAATCAGGAGGTATATTTTCGATAGTTTTATAATGCATTTTTAGAATGTCTTTGGCGTTGAAAAACAGTTCATGGTTCATATAGTAGGTTTAGTGGGCAAATATCTGCAAAGATATATTCACAATCACAGTTTTTATGGCAACAACACTTATATTGATACATAGCTAAAGGAAGACAAACTAAGCCATTAAACTACCGGTAATTATTTTTCTAGTCAGTTTGTAAGAAAAATTGAAAGTGCCTAAATTTCCATATTAGGTAAAAATATGTTGATCAATATTATCTACATGAGTGTACACCCCAAATGATTCCAAATAACCACCAGTGCATATATTTATTATGTTGCAATTATAAATACAGATTTTACCATACTCTAACCTGCATACCTAATAATTACCTGTACTTTCTGAACAACAGATCACAAATGCATTTAATAATATATATGTAATAAGTAAATATCTACTTTAACTAGGTACATGATCATGCTTTTTGTTGTAGGGTCACCACCAGAATGACAATGTGGGATTATTTAACTTTTTGCCACAACAAAAGTCTAAGACGGACCAAGTCTCCCCACACAGCATGGACAATGGTAACAACTACTACCTTTTCGCAGACAGCAGCACACCGAACCGAATACCCTGCAATCATGTAGACTCTGGGTATTTCGAGCAAGACAGCTTTAGTGACCCCTTAAGTCCGACCCTAGCATGGGCGCCAAGTGACAAGCTCTCCCAGTTTGATTCCATTGTGTCCGAGATTGTTGATGAAGACAAGAACTGCTCCCTCTTCTCCTTTGATGGTAGCCTAAATGACAGCTCCCCAAGAGAAAAACATACAGATAGCTTTGCTGCTCACGACAGGTAAGTGTCATCATCGACAATATACTGGACAAGTTCCATTATTCTAGAATGTTGTTTGGTTTTAAAGCAAACAGGAAGAAAATTTACAGTACTACCAACACCAGGTTCATAATAAGACCTTGTAATTAACACAATATCTATTTCTCCAAAAGAAACTTCACCTCAGGATATACTTTAAAACCTTGCATTGCTCTCAGCAGTACTGTAGACATGTTGATAAGTAAAAATGTATATTGTATTTCCAGATCTATTGGGCTTCAGGGTACAAATATTTCTACAACAGGTCAGCCAACCTCTGTCCAAAGCCAGTACAGTTTTGACCGAGGTGGTCAGACTGTCACGAGGAATGACTGCTGGCCTGATAGGGGAAGGTCTGCCCAAAACAAAGCAGAGACTATTCCACACAAACTGGACATGCAGTCCTCCTCACTTCAGTCAAATCTTAGCTTCCCTTCTCATTCAGTGCCTAATGCCAATTATCTTGGAAAAGGAGGAAATACGACTTCACTGTCTTCGGAGCCTTCTTTGAGATATTCTCTCCGACAGACCAGTACACAGGAGAGACATGCGTGGCCGTCGACCAACAGCCAGATACCTCAGAAGGAACAGAATACTGCTGACCCTGAACCAGGCATCCATCTGAACATGTGTAAGCCAGCAGACTTTTCAGAGGAGGTAAATGCTAATGGGTCACCATTTACAGGAAATGATAGATGTTTGTTAGATTTCAACGGCAACAACCCCTATACTAGGTCAAACGGCTATGGCCCGTATAGTTCTAGATCTTCATCAGTAAAGAATGGCCAAGCTATGAACAGTCCTGCTGACAATGCTAACTTAACCAATCAAAACACTCAAATGAGTCTTGATTTAGATCCACACGGAATCTCAGGGAATTGTTGGAATCAGGCTGGAGGAAGTTTTCCTAACTATTCGGAGCCCTCCAGACAGACAAACAACAACAATGATAAATCCTCTGAGGCTTCAGCTCGGCACCACAACATTAATGCAATCAATTATCTCACACAAAATGCTCTGAATAGGAACGATCAGGGTGAACATCGAACATTTGACTCTCCTTCCCTGGCTGGGCTCTATCCCAGCAACAACATGGTAGGAGATGGCAGCTCCACCCAGAGTCAGTCGGTCAGGAAAAACAGGACCACAGACAACATCAAGCTGAGTCCAAAGAGCCTAGTGAGCAACTATTTGAGTAATCAGAGACCGGGAGGTAACCATTTTATGCAGCAGGACCATGAAAGCAAATATTCACATCACCAGTTGGCTACACATAGTAAGTTAATGGCGAATAAATCTGTCAGAAATTGCCACATATCAGAAAAAGGTGATGCAGGTGACATACAGTGTTCAGGAAGCATGCCCACTAGGATAAGTCCGAACCAATCAGCAGCCCCCACCAGTTTACCTGTAAACAATCTGTCGGTGGATAACTCTAATTCTGTAGGTGCCAGCAGCAGTAGCCAGCTATCGTCCAGGAGTAACACACTGGGAAACAATCCAACCCACCTTAGCAACAGTCAAGTCACCCCTGAGGAACTGCTGCAGTGTTTAAGCAAGTTGCAAACGTCTGTTGCTAACTCAATTATCCAGCAGCACCACTACTCCAGTCCGAGCCAATCCACACCCCACAGGGGCCGCACAACAGTGGCCCAGGACAGGCAGCAGAGACCTAGGGAAGACCCTCGCCATCACAAGTCAGTGCCCCTATACACCAACCCCGCAACGGGGGTGATACAAGGTATCCCGACTATGTTACAACACAATGATAGGCTTACAAATCACCACGCACCCAAGGGCTCGCAAGAATTGTTCCATCCTTCCCTGACTCATCCTAATCATCATCACCAACACTATCTGCCGACTCCAGGCCTGGTGTCCGGACACTTTCTGACCGGTCACCCTACGTATCCCACAGAACTGGTGGAGTATTATCCCATGGATCCCTATGCTTCCTTCACTCCTGCCTTCATACCTCCCGAAGCCATCTATGATGTTCCTGCATATTATGGCTTTCCTCCCTTTATGCAAGGATTTAAACAACCAAGGTAGGTTTATCTATTTGTTATTAATCTTCTTAACGAGGCAAATGAAGAATCCAAAGTCATTAATGTTTCATTAGATGAAATGTAATAATTTCATTGTTTGTCCTAGCTGTGTTATTGTTGAATTGCTTAATCCTTTCACCCCTAGTTAACTTAACTAGACTTTACCAGACATTTGTTTGGATGAGTCCATTATATTGTCTAAAGTGATGAAAGGGTTAAAAGAGATTGGGAATAGTCACTGATATTTTAAAACTGTAAGTATGGTTCATATATTATTAGTCAGGAGACCGAGACCTTGGAGGGATTTTGGTATTCAGGGATGATTTTGTTTGAACCTTTCTAAGCAGATTATGGCTTACCTCCCTTTGTATATATGGATCTGGATGGAACTTTATGTTGACATGTTTTTCTGTTAAAAGTTTAATCATGGGTATGGACTCTTTTACTGGTTAAATATGATTTCACTTTTGATGAAATATTTTTAGTTTAAATTGATTTTTGTTTGAAAAAGGAGAAGTGGGCCTTCCATTGAACTCCATCTGAAACTTGAAGAATGCTATGATCAGTTCAGGAATACAGAAAGGGAGAGAAAGAAGGTATGTTTTATTATTTTTTTAAATCATTAAAATCAAACTGAATAGCTACTTGAAGAAGTTTCACAGACAAATAATTTGTGGTCATTTGGATTTGTACTAATGTCAGAATCTGAAAACATCTAATTTACCCACGAATTTAACAAAATAATAGCATAACATTTGTTGTGATCTGTTCTCATCAATAAATTGATTGAATTTAAGAAAAAAACAAGTAATTGGAAATTCTGATGTCAGATCCTGTGTCTGCCTCCAAGATGAGGAGGCTTTGCAAGTATTCTCACATTTTGTCATACATGTGACAATCAAAGCACAAATTTGACAAGGTGGTTGTCTTAAACAAGGAAGTGTTACTGTAGCATGTTCTGAATTAAAGAACAAAAAAACATTCAATAATGACTGTATGGAAATAAGGATATTCCTTGTGGGTATAAGATTTGTACTGTCAGAACCTTGGCAGATTCTCAGTTTAGACAGTAAATCATAATGTACCTTAGTCTACATCACACGTGTCAGGACTCCTTCCATGTATCACCATGACATTGTTGAAGTGATGTTATGTGATAATTGAGAACACACACGATGTCATTGTTTTCCGAACATATCTAAAATATTTTCATGATTTAAGTATTGAGGATTTGGTAGATTTTAAGTGAGTTTGTATTTTGACAGACTGAAGCTGAGTTAGCCAGACAACACCCCGGTAAGAGGATCTCTAGTGCCAACAATATTGTGGTGCCTCGCCTTCCTTCCAACCCCTCACGTGTGGACAGACTCGTCGTGGACTCATTCAAAGAGCATGCCAGGGTCAGTTCAATACATATATCATGTTCATAATATTTAATAAAAAAAAAAAAACATACAGAAGCTATCACTACTGCATGAATTATTATTTTTCCATTAAAATGCATTAAATTTTCATTAATAACCAATGAACTTGTTAAAATACATCATTAAAATATTTAAAGGAAAAAGTAATGACCCTCACTAGAAATCATTAAATACTTGTAAAATTTATTGAAAACTCCAGTTGATATCATCAATTGCCTATTAAAACCTAGCCTACATATGACTGCAAATTGTAATGCCCATGAAAAAACATTATTCTTTTGTAATAGAAAAGTTTTGATGAGAATTTAATGCCAATGAAAAATAAATTTTGATGGTCATTGAAATTGAATTAATTTTCTTAAATTTAATGGTTATTAACTGAATTGAGGTTATTTTAGAAAAATATAAAGGTCGTAAATGAGTATGAAGATAAATGAATTACCATTTAATGACCATTAAAACATATATGCATTACTCCTCGAATGCCTGTGGTTTCAAATTCAACACAGTTTAATATAGCTCTATTTAAGCTTGTGGCAGTAGATGCCAGTAGATTTGATAAAAAAACAGACTTGTTTGTGTAGACACAATCCTCAGATATTTTGTTGTATGTGATTAAATTGGATGATAAGATATCCCAAATTGATCACCAGTATATTGTTAAAAGAATGTTATTCTCAGAGTTCAGTTAAATGAATCACAAAAGATTTTAGTGTCAAACCTAAAACAACGATATTTGAATTTTGTGTTAGATCTTGACACTGATAGACAAGATGGAGCGATTGATGGGTGCAGGGCTCCATCCTAACATCCACTCAGCCTTGGAACGCTGGCTGGAGGGGATCCGAAAGGTGCAAGCGCGTCGTAAAGAGGAGATAGTCAATGCAACCAACAGGAACCGAAATGGAGGACCACGACATCAGGATGATAAAGGTACTCCTAGTTATAAAGTGAAAATCACTAATTCCTTTCCTTGAATGCTACTACTGATACTTACCAAGAGCAGATGAGCAATAGGCCATGGGTCTCTTGTCGTATGTGTTTAAATGGTTGGTTTCACCTATAGCCATATGGCGATTTGGCACATTTTTCTGATGGAACAAATTGAGTAGTTTCGGTGAATATTTAAATTTCTTATTAATTTTCATCTTTATGATCTGCATAATACTTCAGGAATAAAGAAAAAAACCATGGTAATACTCCAAATCTGCAAAATTTGCCTCTAGATCTTTAAAGTGGCAAATTGTCAACAGCAAATGTTATACACAATTTTTCTGAGCAGTCACTATAAAGAGGTTTGACTCTCTACCAATATTTAATATTTTCATGTTTTAAGGGGGGGGGGGGGGGGGGGAGATAAAAGAAACAATAGGAAATAGGGTTATAAAGTAAGAAATTAGAGTTACACCAGTGGCAAAGTAAAAAGTAAATATAATACTACCAATTGGATGGGTCTAACAAAATTGAAAATGTGTTAATTTTGAGTGAAAGAAAATGCAAAAACAGGTCTAATCGCATTTCCACAACAGGTACCAGGGAATCATTGAATGACCCCAAAATTTCATGGGAATCTGCAGTGCCTTAGCAAATGTCAATAACTACAGCAATACTATGTTAAGGATGTGTCTTCTGCCTTCAATTACTGGTGTTATTTAGAAATGTTAAGTGTGATTTGGATTATCGGGTTTGTAATTACAATTAAGTTTGGTTGTATTTCAGATGTGTTGGCACTTGCTGCCAGCATTTGTGAGCTGACAGCCCTGGCCAGGAGGGCTCGCACTGCCACCTGGTGTGCCTTGCAGATTTCAGACAAAGACAACCCCACCCTGTGTAAGCTTGGCATCGACATGAGGATGCCTTCTCTACCTCTCGCCTTCCAGCAGACCTTCATGACCAGGTTACCCACCACAGAGGTCACCACTGCCACCGTCGTCGCAAAAGATTGAGAGAAAAAGGGTTAATGCAGTGATCCTGTGTTTAGACTTGCCTTTTTGCTTGTATTTTTGGTCAAAATTTTCAATATGGTGTTGATGATGATGAATCATTTTGCCTGTCAAGTAATGTTGTGTTTGTCTAGTCCATATGATGCACTTATCTGCAAGTAAACCTGATGGAGACAAATTAACTACAGCATCAATGCAATATGACACTGGGTAAGGTTGAAAAAAAAGTGTTTTAAAAAAAAAAAATTGGGGGGTGTGGGGTGTGGGGGGCACTGGCTATACAGAGTTTTGAGAGACATGTTGGTATTTTTTATCCAGAATTGTAACAATCCAGCCATTATAATTGGGAATGAAAATGACTGGGTTAAGAAGGCTGCACCGTATACAATATTAATTATAGATCTGAAGGATTAAACCAGAAAACATTTGTCACTATAGCTAGATACCTTTGTTGTATCAAAAGATTTGATATTCTAGCTGAAGTCACACTGACTCTAAAATGGCTCTGTTACATGTGTTTGTGTCAATCTTGTATTTATTTGGTTACAGTGTTTTTTTAACCATTGTTGTGTTTATTTGCTTTCTTTACATAATTGATACATACCGTAGTTATTTTCTCACTGTTTGCATGTAAAATGCAAGATGATTATATTGTAATCCCATGCATTAGAGGACATTATACTTGCATATTCAAACTGAGTTGTGTAACAAGAAAATAGACCTTACAAATGGCAAGGTTCAAAATTCTATTGACTTTTTTAAAACAATAGAATTATGCAATATAGATGAAATATGCATGTAACCTATTTTAATGAACAGAGTTATTTTTTCAAAATAGTATCGCCTTGTTGCCATTGTATTGTGATTAAGAACCATTTATCTACTGTGGTAGATGTTGCTGCTATTTACAGTTTCAGCATAAAATGTGCTCATAACTGTCTTCATCTCGTCTGTAGCACTCTGTGGTTTATAGCTAAAATATCCTTATTCCTGTCACAATTTTTCCAGCAATATCAATCAGGGGAGAAAGGAAATAGGAACATGTAAAAAGTGTTGGCATTAAGCAAGGTCAGTGTGCTAAATGCGATGATGGGCATTCTGGTGAGGTATTACCATGGTAATGTACTTGGAGTACCAGGCCATCAGAGGTTTGTGCTTTAATCAATCCTGATGATTACCCACAATGAGGAACGGTATGCTGTAGCAGATATTTTGGTCATAATCATATTTACTAAAACATACCTTTATTGAAGTAAAATGTCTTACGTGAAAAGGTGAAAGTGCTTTATCAACTTGATTTTTTTTTTTGGAGGGGGGGGGGGGGGGGATCATTATGCCAAAAATTTCAGAATTGCCCATGTTGCTTTCTGGTGATCTTCAGTTTTGTATATTGGAGATAATGATTGGAATAATTGGAGAAGGCACTTGGAGAATGCTACTCTGATATATTTTTTTATCTAAGAACATCAGAGCCTCAATTTAATTAAAAAGCACCAGGTGATTTCTGCGTCTCGAAAGCTATTTGACGAGAAGGAAAGATATGTCAGGAAATTTGTACTTTTTTGTTGAATGTATCAACAATGTATTATGTTATGTATTCAATGTTTTCCCGTTGATAGATGTATATAGGTACAGGGTCATAGATAGACATAGGCTTGTTATTGTAGTAACAGACCTGCTGCGTATATTGACCAGTTCTCATCAAAAAGTATGAAAAGTGTCTTTTTGTTGAATGTAATGTTGGTTGTATGGAGAAGGCTACAGGAAGAATGTTTCATTTTATTTTAACTGTTTGTAGCCGTTCCTTTCTTGAGAAATATTTTAATTGTGTAAACACATGTGTTTCAGGACTTTGTAAATATGGAATCACCGCCCAGGTAAGGGGCATTTATTTATTTTGTATATATAACTTTTAAATTAAATATAATGTGTTAAATGTAGATTGATGATCAGACATGCTGACAAGTTAAATTGTATGGTATTGTCATACATGGACTTTCGTGCCCTAAGTGCTTTTTGTAATTGATAATCAGACATGCTGTAGAATTTTATTGTCCATTGTCTCATTTATGAAATATCCTGCCATGGATCACAGAGTCTAGCGCTGGTGAACAGATTATATCTTTTAATTAGTCCTTTTAGCTTGTAGTTGATAAGGCCCTGTGCCTTTTATTAAATGTGACTAGTGACAAGTGCTCTAAATATTTTATCTGGTGCAGTGATAATTATGATTGTTAAAGGTATAGACATTTTTTTTTTTCATTACTTGATATAAGAATGATTAGATTTGGAAAGATCCTTTCCTCTCCCACAGTTCAGATGTTGACTGTCGGTCGTTTTTTTTATTTGCTTTGACATTGAATCTTTAGGAAGTAGACTGTATTACATCATAGTTCGCACATCTAATGAGCATGTAAAGAAAGTTACACGCTCTTGGTAGCTTGGTGAGAGTATATATTATAAGAGCAGGGAGATTTGAAAGTCTTTGAGTTCTCAATATTCTCTTGATTTTATCTAGATATTGTGTAGAAAGAAATTGTTGGCTTCAGATTGTTGAGAGGACTAGTGTAGGTCGCTGTTCATGTTATCATATTTAAACGAGGTTTTGTGTTGAACAATAGTTGTTGTAGACCTCTCAGGTCTCTCGTTAAGATGAGAATTATAATGTTGTAGATCTGACATTATTTGTTGTGAATATTTATTTCCATTATTTAAGATGAAGTTAGTATAATTTAAACAGGATGATACAGGTTTTTTAAACATAATGACTGCTGTGATTAATTGGAAGAAGAATTTAGTTTGTCCATAGATACTTCTATTGTCAGCCCATATAGCCAAGTAATACATACTCATGTTGCTATGTTGTGATTAATGAATGTTTTGTTGTCTTACTAAGTAAGTAGAGTCGTGATGTCTTAATATTACAGATACCTTGTTATCCTTTTCCCCAAAGTTTTGTCAATAGGCACAGAGGGTATATTCAACTGATATCATTCAGGGTTTTGTTATCTCCCCTTATTTGCAAAAGTAAGTAGAGGATATGATTTAGTGCGACAAACTGGAATTTTTATATTCAGTCAATTTTTGCCCCCTGACCTTATGCTAATAATACATATGATATATAGTTTTCACCATAGGAGAAAAGAGCATAAAACAATAATAAAATAAAATGTCTTTGCTTGCAGTATTTGCAGTAGTTGTGATCCGGTAAAATTAGAGATTATTTTGTCTTGTAAACTTACTCAGGTTAAATGTATGAACTGGACCATGCCTTGGTTACAGAAATGTTCCTTAGTTTTAAGTTATTGTCAGTGATGCTTTGAGTAAGGGGATCATTTAAATAATTTTTGAATATTTTAATTTGTGAAGTTGAAGCCATTTTACTTATACATGTACAATAAAGCTGGAATACCGTGCAGCAGTCATGACATATGATGTATCAAATATATAGACTGTGCAATAGTTATCTTCATCTACAAAGGCTGTATCTGGACACATTGTCTTGGATGGGTCATCCTTCTCACCTCATTTCATCTAGAAAACGTACAGTCTTGACTATTCCCAAATTTATTGTAATGAAAGATATCTTATTTAACTGCTTGTTAGAGCAATGACGAACATGAATTATTAGGAGGTGACAGGGAATTGCTTAATGTATCATATGTGGATGGTGAGGTCGACATTGTAAAGTAGTCTCCAGGAATTTTTTATAGTGGGTAGTGTGGATAGATCTATGTAATGTTGTGGAATAAGGAAGGATAATTTAGGAGAATCAATAAGCATATTGTACACAGAATATATCACTGTTTTATAAAAGTTCAAATTATTTTTTTAATTCATAAGTTTATGAGCTACACCTGCATGGAATAAAGCTTTGTTCACAAAATAAATAAAATTTAATATTATTAAAATGAAGAATGATCAAAGTAAAAAAAAAAAAAATCAAAAAAATGTCACGTATTGTTGATTACAGAAGTGGCTTGGTCTGATATTTATGATATTAACAATTTTGCAGACTACACAAATAGAAGTTTTAGTATCCTTAAATGTGTCCTCTCATTGTTTAATAATTCTGTGTCAAACTCGTGAAATAATTGTGTTAAATTCCAAATAGAACAAAAAGCAGTTGTTTGTTTCTCTCTGTCCAGAATCTCTTATTAAAACCTCTGATTCTCTTCTGTTAATTAAAACCTCTGAATCTCTTCTTTCGTAAAACGTATTTTCCTATGGTTTCATTTATGCTTCTGTTTAAGCTAGGTTTTTAAAGTAAATTTTCTGGTAATATGCATTGTGTGGTTGTAAAGGGGAGTATAACAATATATCAAGTTAAATTGAACCAGGGAAATGCTCTTACGTAGTGAATACTAGTGTTGTTGTCGAAACTACTCACATTTATTGGGTTGAACTTGAGAAGGAATTTTGATAAGACTGCTAGAGCTGTTTACCTTAAAAAGGTTCCGTTATTGAGTTGTCTGTCTTGATTGAACAATTAAGTTCTTGCATATGCTATGCAGTAGCATTTTGAATACCTTATAATTATCACAGCATATTTGTGTTAGCATTATAAACAATTTCTAAAATAGAAATTAAGGTATAGTGTCCCGGACAGTTGAAGCAGATTTCACATAAAAAAAATTATGAGAAATTTGATGAAAAAATATGTATGAATATTGACATGAAATCCACTGTGAAATAGTGAAAAAAAAGATTTTTCGTTAATAAACCATCTCAAATTCAAGGAAATAACTGAAACATCAGCATTATTTTGTGTTTTTCTGGTGGGTTTACAGATCATTTTAAGTGTTAAATAAAATGGTCCAAATACACCCTTTATGCTTACTACCTCTTAACAGATACTGAGTTTCTGGGTATTACCCTCGTTTACTTTTAAAATCAGATACGAACACAGCTTTTGTGTATGTATGCATAGAACTGTATGATTTTCAAGTTCAGAACATATGTATTTACTTATTTCGAGCACCAATCAGACACGTATGAACAAGTATCAAAATGTTAACCGCATTGTGATTGTTAGAAAAAGGCGTGGGCATTAGAACTGTCCACCCCGAGGAGAAATCATGGTCTTAGTCCCCATTGAGAGGAAATGGTTATGATAGTGTTGCTAACTTGAGAAGAAGGTGATATCAATATCTGGGGATAAAAAGGATCGTGAGACTTGGTAACGCTCGATGGAAAGTGTTGTGATGGCAAGAGTTGTTTACCTTGAACAAAGTGATAATTAACAGATTTTTACCCTGAGAAAGCCTATTGATTGTTGGAATGGTATTTTAAGAATAAAGTTATTATGTGAATTTTACTTTGGGAAAGGTTTTTGTATTGTTAGAGTTGTTTACCTTGGAAGAAAGTGGTTGTTAAGAGATATTTACCAAGAGAAAGTATTATGGTTGTTAAGTTGTCTATCTTAAATTATTATGTATTTGTTGTAGATTTTATAAGAGGTAACATGTAGAGAGATCTATTTTTAATACATATCTGTGGTGATTTGTATGTGGTTTATTTATTTATCGGTGATTGACGTTAGAACATAGTGTAGATTTTAGCCGAAAGGGCATAGTATACTAAAACACTATTTCTGGTATGATGGTTCTTTTATCTTGTAATGTTGTGATCGTGGCCACAATGAGAAATTCTAATCGCTATTACAATTTTAATTTTGATACAAACTAACATATAAAGACATGCTTCAAGTAGTAAGGCAGTACATGTATATGCATTTATTATAAAAACTGATGCTGCAGTTCATATATGCTGCTGATATGTTATAAATCTCCCTATATGATCGTGTCATATGATGATATACTTCACTGAAGTTGTGATGTCAAAAAGAAAGAAACCCGGGGCCCTGCTTCAAGATTACAGTTACGCCTTCAGACAATATCTTAGTGCAGATCGCGCTGTACATGTGTCGTCAATCGATCTAATGTATTAAATATTGTCAACTTTTGAAGGAAAATGTGCAGATTTTATAAATGGGACAAGTGACTCTGAGTACTGAATTGTTTGGGCCAGAAGGTCACAAACTCTGATAATATAAATAGAAAATGAGTGTCAGATTAATATACATATATATATATTCCCTTGCAGTTAATCAGGACTTCCTTTTCAGGGTTCGTCCTTTGGGTTGCTTTTCAAGTCAAAAGTTTGGGTGCTATGATAATGCTTTCTGTAAAAAGAGGGAAAAAAAACTCTTCGGTTAAATGAAAGTGTATCTTTAAACACGGATTTCTTGCCTAAAGTCCTGGCAAATGAAGGTTGTACTTCATTATCAATATAGTGTAAGAAACATCAAAACCAGGTGTGCATCCCTCCCCTAAGGGGGAAGTTTTTTGTTTCCATTTACATTATGAATAAAAGATATTAAATATCGAAATGTGAAATGCATTTATTGGTGGTACTTGCTTGCACCATCATTTAACATAGGTTTTTGTTTTATTAAGGAGCTGCTTAAAAAAAATATAAAAATAGTCATATTTTTTGTATTAAGAACTTAAAGAAATTACACAGGGTACTTGGCGCTATTTCCATACTGAGAGGAACACTATCGTTCATAAGAGGTCTAGGTTGCTGTACCTGTTGATTATGCCTGTGATCAATCTTGCGTTACATCCATTATTATGTACAGATTTGGATGACAAAGTTATCAATGGTACAACAGAAGAGTTTTTATGTCATCAAGACTGATGTATGCTCTTGATCGAGTATTTCGTTTAGATTTAACTGTCGGACAACTGAATGTGTGTATATAGCATCACTGGGGTGTACGATTTAAGACATCTGCATGTCTCATCATAAGTCAAGATAATCACTGTTACTTTAGATAGAAATTAATTTTGGTAAGTAGCTGTTAGGGGAAGTCACGGACTTGAATTATAGAATACCTAGTTAAAGGATCAATATTTAACTTCCAAATGTTTGTATGATTACACATTTTATAGACAGAAGACAAACATACTTGTGAACCATATAATTTTATGTTATGCCATCTCTATTTATTTGACAAAGTAGTCCGAGTGCCTTAGTAGATATTATTACCTCAGCCATAAAACCACCTTTTCCTTGGCCGTGTGCATTCAATTATAGACATTGTGTTGTTTTTTAACAAAGTCATGTTATAAATAATGTTACTTTCGTATGAGTTGCAATACTTGGACCATGAATTGTTGTGTTGATATTAATGTATACATATTGCCATTAAGTTAGAAGTGATGATGTTTATATTATTAGTTAGAATTGGTGCTTTGATAACAATGTTGCGTGTGCTGCAGTTATAATACCCCAGCCTAGTTGTATCCCTGTAATACTGTAATCATTCGTTATGTTTGTACAATCATGTGTTTGTGCAATGATTATTTATGTTTTTGCAGTACATACTTCTATCATTCACCTTCCCCACACTTCCGCCCCGTATGGATTTCTACCGATATACCAGTTGTTTTTGTGAGGGATGTCTAGGATTGCTCTTGAGATCAAAGTCACAGTCGCAATACGTTTCACATTGATATAATATATCGAAGTTTGCATTTCAAACTAAAATAATTACATATCTTGGAAAAAAATGGGGGAGGGGAGAGTCAAACGGTTCAAAGCTTAACTATACCCTGAGTTGATGTTCCTTGTTGTCACCGTTGGCAGTATAGTACTGGAACTCATAGAAGGTTTCTTAATGTGAAGGTGGGTGTATGATAATCATTGTACTAAATAAGGGCTCAATTATGTTCTCATGAACTTTGAAAATTGACTTCATAGCAAAGATGGCAAGTATGCCTCAGCTGCTGAATTGCGCTTGTAAGCTCTGTATTGTTGTCTGATAGAAGTGAAAGGATCAAGTTGTTTTGCTATGGTCAAATTCCACTGGGCGAAAAGTCGAGATGGTTAATATTTAACCTGTTATTGCAGTTCATAGTCTCGGGGACCATACACATTCATCACCTTATGAATTTTACAGTAGAAAGATACAATCATTTCATTGGTTTTGACATTAGCAGGTAGGAGATCAGTATGTTGCTGCAATATAGGGAACCTCTTGGTTCATCAAAATATACACCACTAAAGATAATGTTATGAAATATGTATATCAAATTGGACCTTATAAGCACTCAAACCGTTGTAAGCGATTTCCATTCCTTTTTGGTCCGGGTCATACAATCGCTTCACCTTACTTTTCCAACATTCTTGAAAAATGTATTTATTGTGGCATCTGAAATTATTTTAATTTCTCCAAATTGTGACGTACAAAGAGATCTTAATAGATGGAAGACGGTTTACCTTGTTTGTTTAGTAGGAACTCATTATGAAGCACTTGTGGGACCATATAATGTCATATATCAGGTTCGGAATCAAGAAAAATAACAAGAAGGTCTGGTGTATAATTTTGTTGTTATCAAGTGGACGTTGTATATATCCCACCAACACTCTGTTCTGACGTCACTGTTACAGTGGAATAAGTGGCTTTGTTAGAGGTTAAACAAGTAGCATTTTACTTTCTCCTGAAATGTGGAGGTTTATTTTATAGAACGTCGGGAACAGTCAGCACCTCGAAGGTCGAGATTAATAAAATCTTTTACCTGTAACTGAGCGAGATCGGGTTATCTCAGTCGAGGGTTAAGATTCTGTAACAAAATCCCAACCGAGGCGTAAGCTGAGGTTGGGATGTTACAGAATCTTAGCCTGAGACTGAGATAACCCGATCTTGCTCAGTTACAGGTAATTGATTTTTTTTCTCTCACCTTTTAGTTCGAAAAACAAAATATTTTGCTAAAAACTTTAAGTATCCCGTCTTGGACCTCAAATGATAATGACCTCTTCACTACTTAAGCTACATTTGAATGCTTCCGCGTAAAAATGTAGTCCGTTCTTACATAGATGACAAACGTATTTCACAGTGTAGATTATATTTTATCTACAACATCAGATATCTAAACTTTAAAACTATACATATAACGACTAAACTGAACATTTATAATGCAGATCGCAATGTAAAAATTCTGCGAAATGTCACTTTAAGGTGCAAGACAGATCTGACGAGATAGAAAAATCTAGCATGGGGTATGACGTGTTCATCCATATGTGCTTACAGACAATGACACATGTGGATTGATTGTATTTAATTATGTACTTAAGAAAATAGTGTAAACCGGAGAATTTTTGTCACAGTTTTAACTTCAGGGGACAAAATCACAATGACGGTAAATAGAATTTAGTTCAGCTTTCAGAGAGCGATACAGCATTAGTTTTCCGGTATATACTGTATCTATATAAGTCCTTTCTCATTTTATTTTTCATTAATAATGTGTGTAAGAATCATTGCAAAAATCAAATTATTTGGTGGTTTTTTTGCAACATATGAATACTTACAGTATTACAGGGCTCCCTGCCTTACTTAATGGGTTGTCTACATAATGGTTATTTTAGTTTACTGAAACGTGTTGTATTAAAAACTATGGCTGGTCAATTTACATTATAGAATGTGATTTTAAAATGTTATTGAATCTCTGATAACTAAAACATGTTTTATTTGGAATGTATGTTATGTTTATATTTCACAAATGATTGAAATGAAAATTGAAAAAAAATGACTCAAAAGTTATATAATTTTTGTTCTGTTCGATCGTACTAATTTACCAAACTTTGTTTTTCTCTTCCTACCAAACTTCTGCTTAATGATAATTAAATTTATGGGTTTTTTTTGGTAGATTTTGTTATCTTCCAGTGCAGAAAGGATACATTGCTTTCTTCAGTAATATCTACCCAAACTTTACTTCTCAAAATTAAAGCATTTAAATAAACCTTTTCAATCAACAAACATGTATGTTAATTGTCAATCAAATTGTGGTGTTAAAAAGCTTCTTGTAATTAGTAAATCGGCCAGCAATGCATATATAGTTAAGTGACAGTAAAAATTATGGATTTGGATGTAGTTTACCAAGTTTGACAGTTTTTAGAATGTATAGAGCAATTTAAACAATATTGTGGATTACTAAATCCAGTATTTTAGTTTATCATGACAGATGTTTTAAATTTCAATGTATTACTGATGATTTTTTAACACAATATGTAGTAGGGGTGGGTATTACAAGCAATTACCAAAATTGCAATCTTCAATGGAAATTTGCAATGATTTACAATATATTGTATGCCTTTATATTCATCATATTTCAATTGTTTACTATAGAGTTAACGAAAAGTGAGCTTATCAGTTCAGTAAGTGTCACCTTGAGCTCCTGGTCTGGTGTGTAAATGTGAAATAGTCTTACCCATCTTTCTGTGTTGTCAATATAGGAGTGGGAGAGACATTTAGATTTACATAACAGACGCAGATGCCTGTGGTTTCATTTAAATATTCGAAATTGTTCCATGACTGTGCCTAACCCATCACAACTTTGGTTACCAATTGGTGCAATATATGTACTTCTCTTTCCAAGTATATTGCAATAGTTATTGATTACAAGATATTTTCAATGTATTGTGATTGCAATATTATTGCCCACCCCTAATTTGTTCAAAATGAATACTTGGGTCTCAGATAAATTAGAAGATGATTGAATGGCTCCGTTTGAAAAGAAAAATAATTCCGTAAGAAGTTGTTGTTGATGATATTTTGCGAGGCACTTTTGTAAGTTCACCTGGCTCCTGTGAGTTTTCTTTTTCATTATTATTTTATAAGCTTACCTGGCTTGAGATATGACGTAGGTTGGTCTATCAGCCGGTTTTCTAACTTGTCAAAATTCTGTAAACGTATAAAAACGTTTGTAATAGTTCTTCTATATTTCCGTGCTGCGGCGACAATTTGATAAGATCATCATGATTAACAGGCAAAACTGCAATACCTTCATGTTTTGGCATTATCATAAATTAGTACTTTCGATGATACAGCTAACACAAGTTTTAAAGTAATTTAGGTTTACAAACCTAAATAAATGATCAAAATCCTCTATAACTGACAATTTATTTTATTATAAGAATATCAATTGTTTAATTTTAAAAACGATGTTCCCGCCTAAATGATTTCTTCAGCTGTTTTAACATTGTTTTCCAGTCTTGTGTTTCTGTGAAAGTTAGGGCAATTGCAAAAGTTTATAAATATTTTTTGAGAAATTTTCCAAAATGTTATCGAACATTCTTTATTTAATCACTGTTTTTTGTTTTGAGCATTTTTTATACGGAGTTGGACGGGCATTAAACACTCGTGTAAAATAGTTGTTTAGGCCTATAATAAACGTTCTTTAGTTATGCTAGTCGAGCCAATATTATAGGCATATATGATATACTGGGCTTGTTGCTGCCTGCAGTATGTATGGTACGCAGGATGAGTAAAATAATATAATTGTAGAGTATGAACTGCTGTCAAAAAGGAAGACACCAAAGGTTGTAGAATTTCTTCTTTTTACTTTGTTTTAAATCAGAATAAAATCAAATATTGAATTGAAATTTCGCTTTGTTATCTTTTACAGACTGGAGATTAAGCTCTTCCAGGTGGTCACATTGCAAGTACTATGCATGTATTCTTAATTCGTTGACCATATAGTAGTAACTCGCCATATGCATTAAGTATGTGTTTTTTCAAATATATATTGTCTCGGGAATAACAAAGTGTTCCATGGAAACATGCATGACACTCTGTTCAAGACATTGGAGTTAAATTGCCTTGGACAGAGAGAGTTATCTGTTTAATCGCCACACGAAAAGGGGGCCATGTGGATACGCTGCAGGGGGCCAGTTCTGAACAGAGATGAGGGGGCTCATATATTATCTGGCATTTATGATTAGGTATTGAATAAAGTGTAGCCGACAATTTTATTCGATTCGGTCTGATTCGTCTTTTCGTATATTTACGTGTATGTTATAGCGTATCTGAATCTAGATTGACAACTCATATGCTTCAGTGGTCATTTGTCTGATGAAGGTGACCGGGTACGTATCGTACTATTCATTGGAACGTCACACATAAACACTTACTGGTTGTGATACATAAACTTTCTACAATTTACAATTACCAACCTGAAGAAAATGTTTAGAAATATCTAATATCTATCTGGAGCGTGCCAATTGGGTATAATTAGTACTATCAAATTCATCCACCAAACTGAGCGCAGCTGCACACGTATCATGACATTTCGGATGTGTGCGGCATGCCAATCGGTTAGCTAACGTTAAAAAGTTATAACTTCTGGCTACAGCTTATAACTTATACTTAAAGCATATGCATCATGTAAACAGCACGAAGGCTACAAGGCTACGGCCAACCGTATATATATAAAGCCAAAGTAGTATACGTCTCTGGGCCTACCCCGGGAATATACACAAATTCATCATCACTGGTACTTAACATCTCTGGGCCTACCCCGGGAATATAAACAAATTCATTATCACTGTTACTAAACGTCAAATTTCCGTATCATATCTAGAATAATTATGACTAAGGATTGTATTAGGGGGGTTCGTTTTCCTTCTTTCACTGTTTTGATGTCTTTTCTGGTCCTTTTGTTGACATTTGGCATCAAAAGACATGATAGGTTTACCGAAATTTCAACCCTCTGATAAGTCATATTTGAAGACCATAATTAAACAACAGCGGAATAGTATAGCGACGTTAACTTAGTCTGCCATCAACGCCGACGGTTTTCATGATTTTGACTCAATTTAATGCAACGAAATGACATATCATCTTGACTTTAACGATAAACCTAGGTCATGCAGAGCTTATTTCCTCTTTACTAGCTGTGGAAAGTCATACCGGCTTCAAACCGAAACGGCTGTGACTTTGTGAAACTGTAAAAACCATAAGCAAAATTCCCCGGTAGCCTATATATATAGCACGTCTAGTTGATATTGCACTACAGGGCGATATGAAGTGGCACATCATCTAAATTACGTTCGTTCATAATTGTAGGTAACTTAATTAACCTTCGATCATTTTCATACTCACGCTATTCACAGTATGTAAAAATATGTTACTAGAGAAATTAACTATGATTTTAATGGTTTCGCGAGGCAATTCTCAACAGAAAGTGATACGTTGTTATTATGACGACGGTGAACTGCTTAATTAAGACATCGGCCTTAATGCGTTTATTATAATGATAAAGTTGATGTCGCTGGGTGTCATTTCACTAACTGGAAGTTTAATTATGGTGTTCAATTATATAACTTCTTGTTGAACTTCATTTAAGATTGTACCCTTATTCAGCGTGCCGATCATGATGCTGTGTTCGTTTGTATTCTATTCTTGCGGTTTCACTCATGATACCTATATTGCTATGGGTTGTCCAGGAGTAAACCAACATTCTTTTAAGAGGAGGTTTAGGCGAACTGCTGTTTTTGTTTTGTTTTAATGAATGAAGTTGTACAATAAATCAAACAAACGTTAAATAACATCTCAGAACATGGAATGGCAAATAACATCTCAAAGTTTTGTAAAGACTGCAATGAAAGTGTATGAGAGAAATCTGACACCAAAAACATAAAACCTTAATAAACGTCCTTGATCTAAACACACAAATTCTATACAACATGTAGAAAATCACCTAAACAACGCGGGTATTTGTAATTTTTTATATTACACAAAGTCAGAAAGTAAGTTTCAAGTCTTTTATCCTGTTATCATTGGGTCTGTAATTTCTTCAGCAAGAATTAAAATGCTTCCAAACTCAACAAAAACGTTCAAGAACAACCCCTAAATTGAATAAAATCCGTCAAATGTAACATAATCGTTTTGTTCTCATTCTTTGTGATAAAATGTCTCACCCTGAACCATATATATTTGGAAATATTTTGAATATCTTTAATTACTGGTCGAATTTTTCCCATATATATAATCTATGAGAATCTTTTTTTTCAACATAATCTGATAGAACCTTTTAGTCGTTGTTTCCTTTAGTCTTTTTATGTTTTGCTCGGTGATGTTGATTTCTTACATCTTAATTACTTATATTAGACCCCATCCGATTAGTACTATATTTTACTCCATTTGCTTTTTAAGCACTCATATATATATATATATATATATATCATAATTGGTTCAAGTGCTTTTAATGTGTTTATCTCGGTACATGGATTGATGCATAAAACATACATGTCCTTGCACTATTTTTGTATGCCAGGTATTTTGTATGCTATTTTGATAAGATTACCTCCAAAGTAATTTAAAGAAACACTCAACGAAGTTCTCTGAGAAGTCATGGTATATATCCCAAAATCACTTACAGTGTCTATGGTTACACAAAAGGTATATTCCACACCGTGCTCAGACTCATATTAATTAAATATGCATCTCCTGCCATGTTTGGACACCCCTGCCTTATAACTGATAAGCGAGCACTTCATTACTAAGTAAAGTTTTTTTAATATAGTTGAAGTGGAATCGTGTGAATTAATATAACCAGAGACATATAACTACATATAGTATTAGTAGTATATTATATCTGTCTCTGATAATCGAAATAGTTCATATGAGTTATCTCCCCTCCATTGCAATACACTTTGCAGTTTTTGTCATTATATTGACTAAACTCTTCTAACAAGAGCACGTGTTTAATCAGATACTAACCTTAACTGCAAATAAATACGAATATCTTAATGATGGACTTATAAAACACATGAAACTGAAAAAATCATTCTATAATATTTCCATGTGAGACTGTCATTGCATATTTAGTGACATGATACCTTATCGATAAAATCATAGTTATTCCCCTTACCTCTTCCTGCCCAATCAGAACGTGTGACAGCATAAAATTTGGAGGCAGAGGAAAATAAACATGTGCTAGGTCCGAAGTGGTACTACCTTTGAAAACAATATGACTGGGGCAAAAGGCGAATTCGTGCTGAGTGCCGAGGAAAGTAAAAAATATCAAGAACTTTTCAACAAACTCGATGTGAACAGTGATGGACGCATTGATATTGCTGATTTGACGAGTTCTCTTACGGAAATGAATGTTCCTCTTGGTCAGGCACAGGTAACATCAATATCAGCTGCAAAGAACCGATTTCTTGCATCAGCAGTCAGAAAGGAACACCGTGTCATGTTTTAAACATTATAATATTAGATATAATGTATACTAACACATGAGAAATGGTATCAATGTGATCGTAGAGTGAAAAGACGTAAGTTAAAATATACACAACTCAATAGTCTGCCGGTCAGGGTTGAATGAACCAGATGTATAGAGGTATAGTAGCAGAGGTATATAGATGTTATTAAAAATGTTTCAATCAAATAACGCGATGGAATAATAAAACGTATACCCGTAATATGTATTAATCTGATTCACTCAAAATCATACAACCTGCGTTTCTGTGAATGTTAAGATGAAATGTAGGCCATATTCAACAAGTAACATTATATTTATTTGCATCATACCCAGAGCTAGTGCTACCAGTGTATGGTCCAGAACACTCCTGTTGGCAAATGTTGAACTTATAGACTTCAGATGATGAAAGCCTCTAGGTTCATATAGAGCAGGGTCGGGTATTAGGCCTACTGGACACTCGTTGGGGGGGGGGGGGGAAATCCTATACTATTAACAACAGAAATAAGTGTGTTTTGTAAACATATCTCAACTATAAGGCGTTATTTCTACCAATATCGGGTTTGAATTGAAGGGATGTAGATACTGAACCAGTCGGCAATTAATATGAACACCATCGAGGATATTACTGAACACTTCTTTTATTTCTTATTAAATATCCATCAATGCAAATGTCTATAAATTGAATCTAACAGATCTTAAATGACCATTTCAGACACTCCGAGGGCTGTACCAACAGTGGTCATGTACTACCTTTTCCCAAGTGTAGTTTAATTTAGTTGATGTTGATAATAATCTTTAATTCCTTAATTTAATGATAAAAGAGAATCCATCATAAATGTGTTAAAAACTGAGTATTATTGGTATGGCCAAAATTGTTCAGACTGTAAAGGCACGCCCCTGGTTTTGCAAATCGCTATGATGATGCGTGGTGCTTGAGCAAGTCTGGTTGTTTTTATTGTTACAAAATAAGTCAACAGTGATGTGTTCAATAACTGTAGAACACCTCTAATTTCTAAATGTCATCAATGGTAAATAAATGTAATGCTTATAATTACAGTAAATATAGAGAACTGGCAATTTATGATTGTTCTTTTCGTGTTTTCTTATTCCATAACTATACACATTCATTGTCATAAGTTGTGATATGTTTCCTTTTAAATGGACGCTCATTGACTTGGCAGTTACTTCCTGTACATGTATATGTGCAAATATGATAAATTAGCCAGAAGTAAACGCATGTTGGACAACAACTTCCAACTCGTGCAGTGGGCATTTTTTTCTACACACAATGCAATGCAAGTGGACAATATTTTCCGCGGTCAGGAATGTTGATGTGTTGACATGCACATCAAACACCAACAATATAGGAATAAATGTGATGTATAAATTGTGTTCATTAACTGCCTCCGGTTCAGTAATACCCGACCTTGCCCTGTATCAGATATTAACGATATCTATTAACATTATATACAGTCTGGTTGAAGACCTGCAGTGATGTACTAGTTATCATTATTGACTGGTCAGACATTGATATAAACAGCATTTGTGTAGACGTAATTGGTGAATCTTGGTAACAACATCGTTGGAAGAATCAGATAGATAACTCAAAGCTGAACTCTCTCCATATCAAACTGGCATTACAATTTTGTCAACAATAAAGTAACTGGGAAATTGCAATAACTGAACTCGGAATATCATTACTTTTAATTGACTATTATATCATAATGAATTATTATATTAAATCGTTACTTGATATTTTCAGGAATTCTTAAAGAAGCACGATGCTAACAAAGATGGTCAAATTGACTTTGCTGAGTTTCTTAAATATGTCACAGTACATGACCAACAGCTGCGACTGTATTTTAAGAAAATTGATACTAATCAAGATGGTAAGTGTTGTAAACTCTGCTGATTTCTCTTACTCTCATCATAATCTCTTAATACTCAGGAACGTCTCTAAATACTCACGAACGTCTCTAAATACTCACAAACTACTTGAAGTATAATAGAACGTCGGTTTTTCTAACAGAACATCACAAAACATGTGTGAATACTATTGAAAAGTCGTAAAGATTTGGAGTAAATCAAGTAGAATCATAGAAATGTATTCCCAGGTGATAGCTGCTAATAGGATATACAGCAAAAAAACAAACAAATCAGTTAACTACTCCAACTCTGATCCACCATCAACCCCTCCAACCGTCATCTGTCTTTCCAGATCCAGAAGGCCTTTGATCAAACGGCCATATACATTATAATTCTTTCATTGAAAGAGCAATCCAACATCCATTTCTCCACCAGACTTTTTACCCATGGCGTCGTTGGCACAGGTTTTGGGGCATCATTCCCTATGGCATAATTATGTATACATTTTCCCAAATCTTTTATTATATCTGTACATGAAGTTGAAAAAATAATGTGTACCATAATCGGGATGGTGCCGTTTTTATTGACTATTGTCTGTTTAACTATCTTATCTTTGGGGGAAACAAATAAAAACTGATGAACTTGTTGAAGTCAATTTCAAACAAAAAAAAGTGTTTAAATAAATTGCACATATGATGTACAAATCTGCTTGTTAACAGGTACAATCGATGCGAGCGAGATCCAAGAGTCTTTCCGTAAACTGGGTCTGAATATAGACAGAGATGAGGCGGAGAAATTACTCAGCAGGTGGTTGACTTCCTGTACATGTGTTGTTATAGAAATACTGTGTGACTTTAGGAATTGAATAATTAAAGTACATCATACAATTGATTTGTAATACGTGTCCTGTAGGTCTACCAAATGTTAACATCAGTTAGAATATTTCTAAATCTTAATTATCAGTTAGAATATTTCTAAATCTTAAATCATTGAAGGTAACCTCAAAAAGATTATTGATTGTTTCTACATGGCTTGAAATAAAAACAATTAAAGCTCCCAAACAAATGTTGATATTGACTGAGCTAGCTCTATAAATCTTTATCAAACTATTGTGATATCAGATTGGTATCTATAGGCGAACCTATTGAATTGCTAGCCCATATAAAGAACATCATTCATCAAGTATGTGTTTATACATTTCCAATAAGAATGGGAAGTTATATTAAAATGACATGATGTTCTGTCATTATATAATGGAACAAAGCTTGATGGAAGCTGAGGGATGTTCTAGAGATGAATACAAGGGGGAGGAAGGATTGGCTAAATCCTTTCACTATGATTTTGGCTTCTTGAGGAGACCATCTAGTCTCGCAGAACAAATGTTTGCAGAAGAAGGAATATATGGTATACATTTGATGGAAAAGAACTTAACATACATGTATTTGAAATAAAATGTTTAAATTTTCATCAACTCAAACACATGTTCTGCTCAAAATACACTACCACAGTAGTTCCCTGTGGAACTTATAATTTGTGTCACAGTCTTGTAGGTAATTACATAATAGTTTACTGGGAAAAGTTCAATCCATGTAGCTTGAAGGGAACTGAGGAAAGGAATCAGTAAATTATGAAAAATAAATTCTACATGTTCCATTGTCATTGGTATCTTTTATCTTATTTAAAGTATATTTTTTTCATGTGAGTTTAATCAAGTATCATAAGCAAACTGATCTTCAGCATTTTGGTTAAAAGCGAAGAGGATAGTTGTAGAAACTTCAAAACGTTTAAAAAGAAAATCTTGAGTCCAATTAAGATAAAAAAAAATCTCCCAAGATTCAAAATTCTTTTTGGCAGAAATCAGCTTAATATTGTCAAGGATACCATGACGATCAGTGTGAAACTAATCATCAATAAAACTTTATTTTTCTCTCTCTTTTTCCCCTCAGAATGGATAAGGATGGTACACTTAAGATAGATTTCAATGAATGGAGGAACTTCCTCCTGTTGTCGCCAGCACAGAATATCCACGACATGTTACATTACTGGAGACATGCCTCTGTAAGTAACCCTCCACACGCTGTACTGGTCGAGCTGCTGCTGTGCCATATGTTAAAGTGTATTGTGAGGGTATGAAGATTGGTGTAAATGTGTTAGTATACCTGGTTTGATCTTGACCTGGATTTGAGGAATTGAAAAAATAAACAAAGACACATACAAATAAATAAATATAATACAAGAGACTGAATGGATGAATGAATAATTTCAAAAGTTTGGCACACACTGTTAAATTAATAGTTCAGATCATGTAGCATAGCATACAAAGTGATGATGGTATTGATACAGTTGTAATGGTACAAATGTGACCATGTCCATAGTGAGATTTCTAACATGAGTAAATGCTTTCAATTCAAAATTAATATAAATTATTAAGGAACAGGTTAATATTAACATCAGAAATTAATAATAGTGTTTATTACAGTATTATGACCAAAATACTTGTAAAAGTCGAATGTGAAGTGCTTTCCACTTCGTGCACCACATGTCCAGCCCAGGTAAGTTTTCAGACATAACTCTACACAATACGACTATGTTAAAACTGTATGGATAACATGTAGCAAATCGACGTGACGGGATATTTGTGGTTTTACAGATCATAGATATTGGTGAGAACACTATAGTCCCTGATGACTTCACAGAAAAGGAAATGAAGACAGGGATGTGGTGGCGCCACCTAGTAGCTGGTGGAGCAGCAGGAGCAGTGTCGAGAACATGTACAGCCCCACTGGACAGACTCAAAGTCCTGTTACAGGTATGTACCGCCTGTCTGTACCACTGGACAGACTCAAAGTGCTGTTACAGGTATGTACTGCCCTTCTGTACCGCTGGACAGACTCAAAAGTCCTGTTACAGGTATGTACCGCCCGTCTGTACCACTGGACAGCCTCAAAGTCCTGTTACAGGTATGTACCGCCCGTCTGGACCACTGGACAGACTCAAAGTCCTGTTACAGGTATGTACCGCCCGTCTGTACCACTGGACAGACTTAAAGTCCTGTTACAGGTATGTACTACCTGTCTGTACTACTGGACAGACTCAAAAGTCCTGTTACAGGTATATACAGCCCGTCTGTACCACTGGACAGCCTCCAATGTCCTGTTACAGGTATGTACCGCCCGTCTGTACCGCTGGATAGACGCAAAAGTCCTGTTACAGGTATGTACCGCCCGTCTGTACCACTGGACAGACTCAAAATGCTGTTACAGGTAGGTACCGCCTGTCTGTACCACTGGACAGACTCAAAGTCCTGTCACAGGTATGTACCGCCCGTCTGTACCACTGGACAGACTCAAAGTCCTGTTACAGGTATGTACCGCCCGTCTGTACTACAACACAGACTTAAAGTCCTGTTACAGGTATGTACCGCCTGTCTGTACCACTGGACAGACTCAATGTCCTGTTCCAGGTATGTACCGCCCGTCTGTACCCCTGGACAGACTCAAAGTCCTGTTACAGGTACGTACCGCCCGTCTGTACCACTAGACCGACTCAAATGTCCTGTTACAGGTATGTACCGCCCGTCTGTTCCACTTGACAGACTCAATGTCCTGTTACAGGTATGTACTGCTGCCTGTAACACTGGACAGACTCAATGTCCTGTTACAGGAACGTACCGCCCGTCTGTACCACTAGACAGACTCAAAATTCCGGTTACAGGTATGTACCGCCCGTCTGTACCACACCACAGACTTAAAGTCCTGTTACAGGTATGTCCCGCCTGTCTGTACCACTGGACAGACTCAATGTCCTGTATCAGGTACGTACCGCCCGTCTGTACCACTAGACAGACTCACCCGTCTGTACCACTGGACAGACTCAAAGTCCTGTTCCAGGTATGTACCGCCCGTCTGTACCCCTGGACAGACTCAAAGTCCTGTTACAGGTACGTACCGCCCGTCTGTACCACTAGACAGACTCAAAAGTCTTGTTACAGGTATGTACCGCCTGCCTGTACCACTGGACAGACTAAATGTCCTGTTACAGGTATGTACTGCCCGTCTGTACCACTGGACAGACTCAAAGTCCTGTTGCAGGTATGTACCGCCCGTCTGTACCACTGGACAGACTAAAAATGCTGTTACAGGTATGTACCGCCTGTCTGTACAACAAGACAAGACTCAATGTCCTGTTACAGGTACATACTGCCCGATTGAATGTATAAACCGTGGGTCTGGCCCCCCAGTTTGTATAACCCGTGGGTCTGGCCCCCCAGGTGTCTGAGGGGCGGGGCCCAATAGGGAAAACATTCAAAGTCCTGTTACAGGTATGTACCGCCCTTCTGTACCACTGGACAGACTCAATGTCCTGTATCAGGTACGTACCGCCCGTCTGTACCACTAGACAGACTCAAATGTCCTGTTACATGTATGTACCGCCCGTCTGTACCGCTGGACAGACTCAAAGTCCTGTTACAGGTATGTACCGCCCGGCTGTACCACTGGAAAGACTCAAAATGCTGTTACAGGTATGTACCGCCTGTCTGTACCACTGGACAGACTCAATGTCCTGTAACAGGTACGTACCGCCCGTCTGTACCACTAGACAGACTCAAATGTCCTGTTACATGTATGTACTGCCCGTCTGTACCGCTGGACAGACTCAAAAGTCCTGTGACAGGTATGTACCGCCTGCCTGTACCACTGGAAGACTCAATGTCCTGTTACAGGTATGTACTGCCCGTCTGTACCACTGGACAGACTCAAAATCCTGTTACAGGTATGTACCGCCTGTCTGTCCCACTGGACAGACTCAAAGTCCTGTTACAGGGATGTACCGCCCGTCTGTACCACTGGACAGAATCAAAGTCCTGTTACAGGTATGTACCGCCCGTCTGTATCACTGGACAGACTCAAAGTCCTGTTACAGGTATGTACCGCCTGTCTGTACTACAAGACAAGACTCAATGTCCTGTTACAGGTACATACTGCCCGTTTGAATGTATAAACCGTGGGTCTGGCCCCCCAGTTTGTATAAACCGTGGGTCTGGCCCCCCAGGTGTCTGAGGGGCGGGGCCCAATAGGGAAAACATAGCAAATTCTTTAAAATCCTTCTTCTTCTGTAGGAAAAAGGCATTTGGTCTGAAGCATCCTTGGGTGAAGGGGAACCAATTTTGTATAAACCGTGGGTCTGGGCCCCCCCAGGGGCCTGATGGGCAGGGCCCAATAGGGGAAACATAGCAAATTGTTCTTTAAAATCCTGCTTCTTCTGTAGGAATGAAAGGATTTGGTGTGGAGCATCCTTGGGTAAAAGGTACCAATTTTGTATAAACGGTGGGTGTTGCCTCCCTGGGACCTGAGGGGTGGGCCCAATAGAGGAAATAGAGGTAAAAACCTTGATAATCCTTCTTCTACCATAGGGATTTTATCCTAAATTAGTATGGAGCACCCTTGGGCCAAGGGGACAGAAGGATGGGGCCCAATAGGGGAAATATAGGTAAACCTTTAAAATCCTTCTTCTACCATAGGGATTAAGGGGATTTTATCCTCATTTAGTCTGGAGCATCCTTGGGCCAGGGGGACTCAATTTTGTAGAAGCAGTGGGTGTGGTGTCCCAGTGGGCAGAAGGGCGGTGCCCAATTGGAGAAATAGAGGTAAAACCTTTAAAATCCTTCTTCGACCATCGGGATTAAGAGATTTTATCCTTATTTCGGTTGGAGCATCCAAGTTTGTATAAATGGTGGGTACGACCCACGCTAGGGGCATAGGGGTGGGGCTCTGTTTGAAGTTTGTTCTCGCTGTACCTCAAGTACTGGATGGATCTTTCTGAAATTTCATATGTACTTACAACACCTACCATGGATTGCTATATCTTTACTTCATACCAATTATTTTAAACATATTCAGGTGCACGATACTGGCCCTCTGGGCCTCTTGTTTCATCTAATCATGTAGATGGATCATGATTTTACAGTATGCTTCTATGATATAGTTGTGTGCTGAGAAAACCTGAAATTTTGGTAGTATCTCATTTGAAATGAATCTCCTAAATACAGAATGTAAATATTGTACATTGCACAAGACTGACTTCTATTTTTGTACATTTTTGGTCCCAGGTGCATGCCACTAGTAAAAACAACTACGGAGTAGTAAACGGCTTCAAGTTCATGCTGAATGAGGGAGGTGTAAAATCTCTGTGGCGAGGTAATGGCATCAACGTGATCAAGATTGCCCCGGAAACGGCCATCAAGTTTATGGCATATGAGCAGGTCAGTGGTCTGGAGATGCAATGTTTGAGATAAAAACCAGTACAGGAGTTACAGAGCTTCTTCTTGGTGTTTTGGGGAATCAGTAATAGGCTCCAAGTTTTTAAGAATTGGTAGAAATAATTACAAACGTGACAGTTTACATTTTATTTTCATTGTAGATAATTATTTAAGATAAGTTTAGTCTTGAATACTTGGCTTGTGTAGAAATTGATGTTTTGGAAAGGTTTCTCTGGAACTTAGCCAAATGATAGGTTTGGACTTATTTTTTTTATGTTCTATCAACAGCTAAGGTCATTTAAGGACATAATTATGCTTGTGACATCCAGAAAGGTTTCTCTGAAACTTAGCCAAATGTTAGGTTTGGACTTATTTTTTTTATGTTCTATCAACAGCTAAGGTCATTTAAGGACATAATTATGCTTGTTACGTCCAGAAAGGTTTCTCTGGAACTTTGCCAAATGTTTGTTTATAGGTTCGGATTTATTTTCTTTAATGTCCTATCAACAGCTAAGGTCATTTTATAAGGACGTATGTTTGTTAGGTCACTGTAAGTACTGATAGATGAAATTGTACAAATTTATCAAAGTATTTACAGTTAATTCTCAAACGTGTTACAACAGTTCAAAATCCGGCTGGTCCCTTTGTCAGGCTACGAGTCGTATACATATTTCCAAACTGGTGAATGTTAGTGAAGAAATTGTACAAAACCATACACCTTGGGTTCCATCACAGAGCAGAGCCTTGTGAAATTTCGAGGAAAAAAACCTCCTGATTCATGATTTGTTTTAAGACAAAATATTTTACGACAAGGACAGTAAATTTGTTGTATTGATATTAATGTATTCTCTATATGTAAATATCTCCATAGAACTAACGAGTACTAATCAATCCCTCAGTACACAGGCAGCAAGGTTTTAAATGAAAGGCCAAACAAAACAGCTGTTTCCCATGTCCTGACTGTTTCACATGTACCGACTGTTTCCCATGTACCGACTGTTTCCCATGTCCTGACTGTTTCCCATGTCCTGACTGTTTCACATGTACCGACTGTTTCCCATGTCCTGACTGTTTCCCATGTACCGACTGTTTCCCATGTCCTGACTTAATTAATTTTTCTCAATCAAAAACAGTTTTGTTGTCAAAACAGGAAACATAAATTAATGTCTATGACCTACTTCAAATGCCTCAGTTTACACACTGTATTGATATCAGATATATTTGAAGAGGTACCAGGACTTCCTGAAAACTGTCTAAAGTATCTTTTACTTTTAATTTTAATGTCCCAATTAATAGTTGAGGATGAATTAAGTGTTTATTTTTCTATTGGTTTGTCAGCCCAATCAACATCTGGTTTGACTTGGTCTTTATTTCTGTTACTATTGTATTATAAGTCCAAAAGACATGGGATTTCATACCTGGTGATTATGTTGGTACATCTTGAGAAGTACCCAACAGATATTTCAAATGTAGGTCACTGAATTTTCAGTGTTCTCACTCAGTTTGGTGATGTTGTATTTCTTTGGCTAGATCTTGCATTTGAATCTACTCCAATCAAAGCAGAAGTGTATGTTTTTAAAAAATAATTTCTAGTTTTCACTTTCGCTTTGAGAACACTCTGAGACTTAAAACCCAGAGAAGAAACTTATAATCTTTTGTTCTGGTAATGTATAGCCTAATTTTATGTACGACTCCTCTTTGTTTAGATAAAGACCTGGTTCAGGGGAGAGGATCCAGCAAAAGAGCTGCATATCCTGGAACGTCTGTGTTCAGGCTCCTTAGCTGGGTGTATATCACAGACAGCTATCTACCCAATGGAGGTAAGTTGTGTAATTGTGGAGATATCTCTACACACACAAAACTATCTACCCAATGGAGGAAAGTTGGGTAATTGTGGAGATATCTCTACCCTACACACAAAACTATCTACCCAATGGAGGTAAGTTGTGTAATTGTGGAGATATCTCTACCCTACACACACAAAACTATCTACTCAATGGAGGTAAGTTGTGTAATTTGTGAGATATCTCTACCCTACACACACAAAACTATCTACCCAATGGAGGAAAGTTGTGTAATTGTGGAGATATCTCTACCCTACACACACAACTATCTACCCAATGTTGGTAAGTTGTGTAATTGTCACATTAACAATACAATGATGTCACAACAGCAATGCATTAGCGTCACATCAACAATGCATTGAGCTTGTAAGGTCAAAGTTGAATTGTGTATATGATATGAACAGGGTATTACAGAAAAAGAATCTTTCACTACTTGTTGATGAGATGGGGAAATCTCAACACTCCGGGAAAGATTCCCCTATCACACCCCGCAGGGGGGTGAAAGATTTGACTACCTAATCCTAAACACACATCTATGACCCTTGGGAAAATCATGATTGTACATTCTGTTATGCCATGCTTTTTCAGGTGTTGAAGACACGACTAGCACTGCGGAAGACTGGGCAGTTCAATGGTATTTTTGACTGTGCTATGAAAGTGTACAAGAATGAAGGAATAAGAATGTTTTACCGGGGCTATGTACCAAACATTATAGGAATTATACCGTACGCTGGTATAGATTTAGCTGTATATGAGGTTAGTTTCCCTCCACCAGTACTTCATACATGTTCATCATACATACCATGCAAAACCTTGTTTAATATTCACGTGTTATATGTATCAGGTACCATGAACAAATTATACAAGGAAACCAAAAGACTTTTACCAGATATCACTGACTGTATGCAAAGTAGAAATGAAAATTTTCAGGTTTTTCTAAAAATTTAGTGTAATGCAAGTAGTTTTTCAAAAAAAAATTTTTTGAAAAAAAAACATACTTTCATCAGTTTTGCTCATAAGCTCATTTTAATCTCTGATAAATGATAGGTACCAAGAATACCTTTTATATCTAATACACCATGTACCATTTATAACATAAAGGGCCACCAAGACACTACTACCAAGTACTATTGAAATTGTTATGTACAGGATTTAATGTAATTTATGATAAAAGTGAAGTTGAGGTTGTTATTAAATATGATTTGTTTATTGAAAATATATTTCAGACCTTAAAGAAGACGTATAGACAGAAAACAAATGGTCAGGACCCTGGCATCCTTGCTCTGCTCGGCTGTGGGACAATAAGTTCTACATGTGGTCAACTGTCTAGTTATCCCCTCGCACTCATCCGCACCAAACTACAGGCTCAAGGTCAGTGATTCCGTACCATTATTAACTCCTCTGTGTGTATCCCTAGTCACATCCAACATGGTAAATAGTCTCCATTAAAAGATACCACTTGATTGCTTAGTGAACTAAGCTTTGTTTAGATTCCTCACATCACTTAAAACTGGACTACAGGATGAAACTTTGAAAACATCTAATTTACAAAAAATCTATTTTTAATGGAATTGGATCCCCCGTGTGATAAAGTAGCAAACAGCAAATCTTACGATTTTCATAGTAGGGAAAAACCCTTGATAGCAAGCCTCGGCTTTTACCCAGGCCACTTTCATTTATCATGATCGATTGGACCAGAGTTTTTCGTTTATGAACAAGTAATCATAAACATTTGCAGGTCTACCTGGATTTATACCTGAAAATATTGCGTTAAACTTATTTTTTCACATCAATGAGTAGGCCCTCAATTTTTAGCTCACCTGCCCGAAGCGCAAGTGAGCTTATGTCATGGTGCGGCGTCCGTCAACTTTTCCTTTAAACAACTTCTTCTGAAAAACGGACAGGCCTAGAGTCATGATATTTGGATGAAAGCTTCGTTGGTAGGAGCCCAACAAAGTTTGAGAAAGAAAATGACCTTGACCTACTTTCAAGGTCATGGGGGTCAAATGTGTCCAACACTTCAAACGACTTCTTCTGAAGAACGGAAAGTTATAGAACCTTCATATTTAGCTTGTTGCTTCCTAGGATAGAGCCAAACAAAGTTTGAGAATGAAATTGACCTTGACCTACTTTAAAGGTCACAGCTGTTAAATATGTCAAACGTTTCAAACAAATTCCTCTGAAGAACTGAAAGGTATAGAATCTTAATATTTGCCTGGTTGCTTTCTACGGATAGAGCCAGACAACGTTTGGGAATGAAAATGACCTTGACCCACTTGCAGGGTCACAGGAATCAAATATGTCAAAAACATCAAACAACTTCTTATGAATTATCGAAATAGTTGGCTCGTGGCTCACCAAAGTTTGCAAATGAAAATGACCACAACCTACGTTAAAAGTCACAGAGGTCAACAACATTTCAAACGACTTTATGAAGAACCAAAAGGAATGGATTCATAAGATTTGGCTGGTAGCTTCTTGGGATAGATCCAACAAAGTTTGAGAAGGAAAATGACCTTGACCTACTTACAAGGTCACAGGGGAAAATATGTCAAACAACTTCTGAAGAAGAACCAAAAAGCATAGAATCATATAATAATATTTGGCCGATAGTTTTAACAGATGGAGCTGACAAAGTTTGCCAGTGAAATATTTGTAGTACAGTATAATATTTACAGTAATGAGAATAATTTACTATGTTTACTAAATATTCAGGTGAGCGATACAGGCCCTCTGGGCCTCTTGTTAAAATCCTTCGATGGAATTTCCTATCCTGCACTCCTTGGCATAAAAGAATTTTATAATCTTGCTGCATGCCAAAATGACTATATCTCTTCCCTGCTGCCACAGGTTTGGGAGATAGATTCCTATCTCTAACAAAACTACTGTCTAATTGTCATACGTAGATAGATGTAATCCATACCCACAGGCGTGTAAGAATACATGTGTATTGATCAACCGTTAAAAAGTTCCTTCTGGTAACTGATTAGTTATTTCTGTATTTGTTCCATATTTTAGGAGCCAAAGGACAAGACACCTTAAGAACTATGTTCACGAAGATCGTAAAACAGGACGGATTCTTTGGACTTTATCGTGGCTTGGCGCCCAACTTTATGAAAGTGATACCTGCTGTCAGTATAAGTTACGTGGTGTATGAGCACTCGCGTGATGCTCTCGGAGTAAAGTCAGGGTAAGATTGTCGCCACGGACAATGGAGAACTGCTTCTGTGATATGACCAGAGATTCCGGCTCAACTTGAGAAATATCCGCCATTCTACATCAATCTAGTTATGGACTCGAAAATATCCAGGAATTGGGTTTTCTGACTCAAAGATTCAGAACTGGGTGATATTCAATTCCAATTTCAGATTTGCTACAGGCTTTTTTCTTAAACTTAAGAATTGTGACTAAATGAAGTTCAACTGTATAAATTTGGAACAGAAGATTGTCTCTATTTTGAGGAATCTCCTATTCCACTTTCCATGACCAACACTAAAGTATTGTAAACCAGGATGGTCTCCTTTGTAGAATGTTTTCATCCGTGGACTGTTAGGTAGTCACTGATGTGAAAGTTAAATGTTCTGACTGATTTTTGACAAATAGTGTAAAACTAGTGAAATTGAATATCTTCTCTGTGATAATGGTAACATTTTTGAGAAAAATATTGTCAGCCTGAAAAAATCCTCACACCAACAATATCCTCACTGAAAATTTCCTCGTTCTGAAAATACTACATACTGTGAAATTGTTTACTCAGTGAAATGCCTAGGTGTATGGTAATTTAGAGGGGTGTTGATGTGTGATGACAAGGTATAAAAGTCCCTATGAGTCTGAGGAAGATGTAAAAACAATCCTCCACAAATGCAACCGCATTACTGTTACAGGTAGTATACATCCTAATTATGAGCACATTAGGCACAGATGACCAGCCAAATGGAGTGCCATGATTTAGTTCTGTACAACTTAATGGTGATATAATATACATTTATAGAGCAATTTATCTAATATATCTGCTGACATGTTTATTTTAGCTCACTGTAATAGTTGCCATGATGAAAAAGTCAACAATGTTAATTAAAATGTTGGCCTGATAGTATAGTTAATTTATGTTCTTATTAATATTATATATACCATAATATTAAGTGGGGTCCACTGTATATGCATATAGTTTCTTTGCTTAAATATTTAAAGATTTAACTATCTACAAAATATATCAAAGGCTTTTTAAAATAAATAAATAACATTTATTTATCTTATAAATACATGTAGTTAGAAATAAATTTGAACACTATTTTTTTTTTTTTTTTTAATAAATAGTTTTTAGGTGTGTACTGTTAAAGTCTGTGAACATACACCATTTAGGGACATCAAAGAGAAAAAGCATAAGACGTGGATGTCCATAGCCATGAAAGAGCCTTTCAGGGCTGTAGTACTTGATTATCTCATCTCCCTTGCTGTACAATTCATCTTTAAAAGTTATTTGTAGGGGTGGTGTGATAATGATAGAATATAAATATATGCTGTCTGAAATTTGGTACCTTGCAAATTCTGAATAAGGTTTTGTAAAAATGCGTTTATCCGTACTTAAATTTTTCTTACAGTCTTTGCCGTATTAAAGCTTTCTCAAATCATCATCATCTCAATGTTAATTTCTGAAGTACTCCTTTTCTAGGAAAAAATTACAAGAAAATGTACAATGAAAAAGAGGATAAATTTTACTCGCTTTTACATTGTAAATTTAATTTTGAACTTAAGTAATTTTTGAACATATTAACAGTATGAAGTTTTACTTATATAAGAAATCATAGAGCTTACCAGATTTGCAACAACTGTGTGTAAAATGATACCATTCTATTATAACTATGATTAGTATTGTGCACAGAGATCATATTGGTATTTTAGCCAGATTTTTGTTATGTGATTACAAACTGCCACTTTTGTTTATTCTAAACAAATGTTTTCACATGTGAATCACCCTGATAATTTGAGTTCAAATTTATGTCATTTTGACATTTGATACAAAACTATAATGTTTATGTCCGCCCGGTCAGAATGTTGATGAAGAAACAAAGCAAAATGACCTACCTACCTAGCAAAACTTAAAATCCTGGGTTGGGTCTTGACATACTCATGTGTAAGTAATATTAGCTTATCAAGTCACTATTTTAGGAACAGACTGAACTTTTTTCTCAAACAAATTTTCTCAGAAACAATCTTCTCACAGTTAAGTTTCTGTATTGGAAGCAAAGATGGCTGAAATTTCATGGCTGCTCTATAAAAATGATAAATTGAACAAAAAATCATCCCGGTAAAAGTGAACGGAGAAACTAAATGAAGCCATAATCAGATGTTGGCAGTCGTCCGTTAAGGTCAGTTCATCATCCTTCCTTCATCAGTCGAATGAAAACATTTCTGGTGGAGAATTTGTGTATGGAGCAAACAAACTGAAGGGGACCCAGAAAACTATCTTAAATTTACCTGATTACATTTATTGAGGTCTTAAATGTACCTGATTACATTTATTAAGGTCTTAAATGTACCTGGTTACATTTATTGAGGGCTTAAATGTACCTGATTACATTTATTGAGGTCTTAAATGTACCTGATTGCATTTATTGAAGTCTTTAAGTCCATTCTAACAATGTCATATGGTGATAATAAGGTGACATGAAGAATTGTTTTACATTCTTTTTACATTTCTTTGCATTTTGTGTTCAATATATATGAAAGGGTTTGATACTGTTACGTTACCGTAAGATCTTGCCCTTTTAAGTCGCAATACGAGGTTGAAGGTCATGCATGTGTTACATTTGTGTTACATTGTGCCCCGAGGCACAGACTTTGGTGTGTTTGTCTAAAGCTATTGGTGGTTGTGTCATGTTTTGTAAGAATCAAGCATTTTCTTGTGTTAAATAATGTCTGATCATTTAAAAGCCGATATCTTGTGTTACACAATGTCTGATCATTTAAAAGCCCATATCTTGGGATTTTTCTCTCTATGTTTTATCTTCATTTTCCAAATTAAATGTATTGATTGTACAAAGATTTTTTTGAATAATTGTACAACCAATTCACTTTCAGCACCAGCCCACTCGTAGATTAAGTTTATAGTTTGAATCACAAATTTTGAAGAAAAAAGCTGAATCATTAAAAACCCAGAGAAGGCCTTGGAACTTTTTAAGTGTTGTAAATGTTTGTCAAGTACTTGTTAAATTTTCTGGCCATTTAATATGGGATGCTGTGTGAAACCACTTTCTGAACCGCATGGGTTAGAACATTCCGTAGTTATCTTGCAGTGATTTGAAAAAGAGGGAGAGATGGATATTGATGGGACATTTCCTAATTACCTCCCTTCTCTGTGTATTTTTATCTTTGATGATTATTGTTTGTTTATGTGTAAAGAATTATAAAGTTTAAGTGTTATGTAACATAAACTTGTGTAGTTTGAGCAGGTATACACAGTTTAAAATAGTTGAAATATTTGCCATGACTATTACATGTTTTTCAAAAAATAACCTGAATTAACTATAAAGTGATGTATATCATGCGAAAACAAGTAATGCTTAGTGCTAAAAACATGTTATATTGTTCATTTAATTATAAAAATATATATATTGTATAAGTTGTTTATGCATTTCTTGACATAAACGATAACAATCTATCATTATCATGTAAAAACACAACTTTAGATGCCAATGTATTGATGATATAGTAGTCTCACGTTTCTGTGGCCATTTGTTGTAATCATCGGTGGGATGTCTTGATCCTTCAGTTTTTGTCTCATTTTTGTGTGTAATTTTGACTCCCTCTCTGTGATTATAGGAAAAAGTGCTTCGCATAGATGTTTTTTACGCATATTTACATGTACATGTAATTACACTATCATAGAGGAAAATCATGTTTTTCATTCAAATTCATTTTAAAAATAGATTTTCAGAAATTACAATGTTATGTGTTTTTGTTTAAGAATAAGAATTGAAGCTTCCATTCCAGACCACATTTCCTTGTTACTATTATTTTATTATTGATTTGTTTGTTGTGTAGGAAGTTATCTCTTTCTAAATTTCTCACTTTGCTTTTCTTGTTTTGATATTTTCCTACTCGTTTTTTCTCTGTTTTCTGTTTTTGTTTAAGAATAGTTCATGTTGACCGTTATGAATAGGACAAGGTGACGTTACTGTTGGGAAGGTAACAATTAAGCCTGGACCCGGAGCTTCTGAATGTTGTCTGTAAAATAATATTGATTTGTATTTTCTTAAACTGTACCAGCTCAATATAATTGTTTTTACACAACAAAGCCTGGTTTCAAGCTTTGATCAAAGTGCAGTTTTTAATTCTGTTCCTTTACATAGAAATTCGATACAAGTTTTCCCCTGATGGATATTGTGAAAAAAATTCATTCATGAATTATTCTGTTTTTCATAAAACTGTATATGTTGCTACAGTAAATTGTTGCTGTAGTATTTGATCTGTGTTGTGATCAAAGAAATGCATGTAAAAATAATAGGAAATGTTGAAAATATGTGTCAAAAATAAAGGATACGTTGTGGTATTGAAAAAGTATATAGTCTATGTTTCTTGGTGTCGCATTGAAACAGAAAACGTCTTGTTGTACAGCAAGGTTTTAGTGGCTTTAGGGGTGAGTTTGAAAGTATGCTGTTAAGGTCTACTGCACAGCTGAATCTCAGAACTTGGTGATGTGTTGTAATAGACCTACATGGGACAGAACTGTGTGTAATGTTATCATTGTATCAGAACATATAAGGTAGAATTGGAAAATTAGAGTCACGCAATATATTGAAATAAATTATGTAAGTTCACTTTCAAAAAGTCTGAGTTTTAATGTGTTATAAACTTAAAACATCTTTTATGGAACTATGACAGTTTATAAATAACATGTACATACAAATATAACGATTAGGTCTGTGAGTTGCTGGAGAGGACGGTTATCAAATTTATAAAACAAGAGAACTTTTCCTACTTTCAAGGCCACTGGATTCAAATGTGTTGAAAACTTAAAGGGTCTTTTACAGAACTAAGAGGTTGGGAGCCATATAGTTTACAGGGGTAAAAACATGTATAAACTATCACACAACAACTCATTCAAAACTATAAGGCCTTCACCCATGATATTTGTCCTAAAGTTTGCTAGACTTAATCAGTGGAGCATAAAAAAGAATGAGGTAGCAGGTGAGCTATACAGGTCCCTTGTGCCTCTTGTTACAAAGTGCTAGGGTTTTAAATACCACCTTATGCATTTATTCATTAGATGCAACTGCACAGAAAACGTGAAACAAATTAATCTCGCCAACCAAATCTTCATTTACTGAAAAAACATCACTTTAGTTTGTTAATTATCTTCTGTTTCATCGTTAGATGTATATACATTTCAATATTTTAAACCAAATAATGATAGCATTAATCTGTGCCTGCTGTATTTGTTGTTATTGCAGTTGAGTATTTTAGAAGTTATTGATATAATGTTTTACGATACACAGATCATATAACCTGAACAGTTCAACCTCGTTATTTATATTCCACTGGAATAACTGGTACTATGTTTTTTTGCCACAGGTCCTGATCACAAACCAAAGGTAATTGAATTGGTTGACCTTTTCTCTTGTACAAAAACAAAACTTGGACTCGAGCAAGGCTACCATTCGAGAATAAAATCCATGTACTACATACTATAGCCTTGCTGGTACATATTATAGGCAAGATTTGAAAACCAACTTTACCACGTTTATGTAAAACTTTATTTCATGGTTCTTCTGTCTGCTTGGGATAACAAGGTTCAACTGTCAAAATGAAATGATCCGGTTCATATCACAAGTGTTGGTTAGGATACTTCGGTCTTTTATATGTGTTTTTGTTAATCATTATTATCTATTTTTTACCTAATAGTTGATCAGATCTTTGTCATGATCACTTTATCTAATGTTTTCTCTGGCCTAACGGGCCAATGTCAATATATGACGTATTGCGATATGATGGCTGTTCTTTTGTCAATCTGATTGGAATACAGCTCCTCTCTACTATCATATAAGGTTCACACGATAGTAGAACGATAGTGTAATGGGGAGCTGTAATCAGATTGTTCTTTTGTCTGCTATTTCTTGTTTTCTGAGCTAAACAAGTTCCAGAGAGATCTGTCTAAGAAGACTGTCCTAGGGAGAGAACTGATCTTAACCCTTTCACCCCTAGTTAACTTTAGTAGACTCTACCATGCATTTATGGGGATGAGTCCATTATGGTCTACAGTGGTGAAATGGTTAATAGACAGGTGGACAGTTCAGGTAGGCTGTTTTTATACCAAGGTGCATACTGTCCATGAAAAGTGCTGGAATTTTACCAAGAACACTATTTGGCGTAGTGAAATAGAATTTTGTGACATGGAATACTAAGCAGATAATTTTAATTCAGTGTCTGTTGTTAGTGGTGACAGCTTGTTATGTCTGTTGTGTTGTATTGTGGTGTACTTGCTATTTGAGATCCTTTATAAAAGGACAAATCTTTAACAATGTATAACGGAAGCTTATACATATTACTTATAATATACAGTGCTAAGCTCATACCTCATATCACATCTACAAAGTTGTCTGTTTATATTGCAATTATGTAAAAATGTATTATTGCTTAAATTTATTGCATTGATGTATTTGGATATATATATGGCACTTGGTATACTGTATATATCCAGCAATAAGCCCTGGCGGCCAATACATGAGGTCTCACTGGGCGGATGGGCCATTACCAGAAATTTGAAATAATATATATAGTCTGCATTTCTACTGGTCTGCAATAGATATGGGTGGGCTTATTACCAGGCATGGGCTTTATTGCTGGATAAATACAGTATCATGTTTATTTGTACACGTAATGATATGACTTTAAGTTCATGGCATTTGATTATATTTAGAGTATATGTGCCACCTAACTGTGCACAGATTATTGAAGATTTTTGTGTTACTGCTAAAGAGCATTGAATGTATTTCATGTACACTTTATTTCACGAGCTGGATTTATTTTGCTCTTTGTGCATGTCTAAAGTATAGAGTCTGAAGTATATATATAGCTGTTCCTGTGACACTCTAACTCACAAGGGATTCTCAACACAAATATAGGTGAATATATGACACGGATTGCTAATACATGTAATATATCACAGTTAATCCATCATGAAGTTTTATTCTGTTACCTACAAGACTTGTGCAGTGTTCTCGACAGATTAGTTTGTATTATCAGGGAATTGTGCTGTAGTCAGTGGAAAATCATAAAAAGCAGGAATACAATTAATAAATACTAAACTAAATCAACCATATAAGTGTTAGGAACAGAACAGGGAGAACACTGCCAGGGGAATCCAATCTTGTAAGTGTTTAATCTGAAATATTTACAACAAAAAGGAAGTTATAATTCTACTATCATGACAATTTATGTACATACATATGCACATAAATAACAAGAAAAACATAATTCAAAGATTTACAGGAAATTGAAAATTAAAGGAATGTCTCTTTATTTAATTAAGATGACGTAATTACATGAAAATTATGATTTGTGGAACTTTTTTTGTGCAGAATACTTGTCTAGTCAAACCTGCTACAGTAAACACCTCCATAACGAGACCACCTGTGCTATAAAAGACTTCTTTGAATATTCAACAATTTTGTGAATTTTGTGTTTTGGATGACCTAAAGGTGGTCTCTGAAAATATGTGTGACTATATATGTGAAACTATAATGTAAAACTTAAATTGTGGAATTAAGGACCTTTACAACTCTACACGGGACTCTGTCAGTCCAGGCGTAGAAATATGTTGGTTTTGTTATACTTTTCATTGCAGGGAATACATATTACTGCCAGTCAGAAACTTGGAACAGAAATTTACAAGTATTTTTGTTTTAGTGGAGATAAATTGATTGGGCTAACGAGGTTCTGAATTACATTTAAATGCTTCTTTTTTGTTTGTAGTAATTGTTTTTGTATCGCACAGTAGTTTTTTCACCGTATGATTATAGACTAGATACAAAAAAAAAGAATCAATGTATGTTGTAAACTATGTTAAAATTTGTAAGACCATTTGAGCTTTCTTACATATGAAGTCCACTCTTCTCAGCCTTTTTAATGTTCAATAAAAAGTAATTAAATAACGAACTGTGTTGAACTTTTCATTTAAATACTCTTACAAGACTACTAGCTATATAGTGCCATTCTTTATTGTCGCCCCTGTTAATGTCAGAAACAGGTGGTCGGGTGGCGCAGTCGATAATGCACTCGCCTTTCACCAGCAAGCTGGCCGGGGTTATATACCCCGATTGGATGTGAAAGCTATGGTGTCGCCTGCTCAACTTGTGGGTTTTCTCCGAGAACTCTGGTTTTCTCCGTCATTAAGACACCCTGAGTGAAAAGTTACAGGGGTAGACAGATGCACACTTTAAGGCACCCTGAGTGAAACGTTGCAGGGTTAGACAGATGCACACTTTAAGGCACCCCGAGTGAAACGTTGCAGGGGTAGACAGATGCACACTTTAAGGCACCCTGAGTGAAACATTTCAGGGGTAGACAGATGCACACTTTAAGGCACCCTGAGTGAAAAGTTTCAGGGGTAGACAGATGCACACTTTAAGGCACCCTGAGTGAAATGTTGCAGGGATAGACAGATGCACACTTTAAGGCACCCTGAGTGAAATGTTGCAGGGATAGACAGATGCACACTTTAAGGCACCCTGAGTGAATCGTTGCAGGGGTAGACAGATGCACACTTTAAGGCACCCTGAGTGAAACATTGCAGGGGTAGACAGATGCACATTTTAAGGCACCCTGAGTGAAACGTTGCAGGGGAAGACAGATGCACACTTTAAGGCACCCTGAGTGAAAAGTTTCGGGGGTAGACAGATACACACATACAACTGTATACTGTGAAATTTTTGCCGCAATTTAGCTTTCACCATTTTAGCCCTCGCCACTAAAGGCGAATAGATCAGTGCAGTAAATATTATTACATAATAATTAAACGTGTAGGGTAAAAATGAACACGGGACAAATGCGGATTGTATCGGCCAAAGTTTCCAATATAAATTTAGTATTTTGGTGTGAAATAAAATGTATAAAATTCTTTACAAGTCAAAGTCTACGTTCACTCTGACATGTGTGTGAGGGGTGAACTGGGGAGTTGATCCTCCTCTGTTTTGACACAATCACAAAGTATACACATTTATAATCATAATGCTGTGCCTAATATGTGTGAAATAATTTTAAGATTCATCATCTAGATTCCAGAAGGACACCTAGTGGTATATAGAAGCCCTCTAAAGATAAGGACAGGAAATAAACAAAGGAGAGAAGTAACCCCTGAATCCAGGTTTCTATATACTTTAGAATTTGTATTGATCCTTGTGCTGGATAGATTCGGCAGGCCGTCGGAGGAGGACAGCTATTCGGTGACTACTACATGGTGATGGTAAAGTATCGATGTTATAACCAGTTATACATAGACATACATAAAAACTGATATAACAATTATAATAACAAATATTGTATTGCTTCATATTTATTTTGGTTAAAAACATCCACTCTCTCATCAATCGTTTCATTTATACATATCACAGTTTCAAATATATGATCAGAAAATAATGAATCGTGTCAACAATAAAAATTCTGATTTCATCAAGGATGTCTTTACTAAGTACAAAATGATAAACAACAAATAAGATTTACCAATAAACCTCACATTATTTATAAAATAAAGAAAAATGGTAATTTCATTAATATCAAATAACTATCATGATAAATAATAAACTTAGAATTAATGATACTTAATGGTTATTCAGATTTGTGGTACCAGGTATTCAAAGCTTTGCACAAAAAATTGAGAAGGAATTTCAGGATTACCAGGAAACCTGGTCTTATTTCAGGTTTATAGTTAACAAAGAACTCCTGACACAAAGACAGTTTATAATATCAAATGAAACTGCTGCATGTTACAAAATGTTTTTAATCCCCCCCCCCCCCCCCCCCCCGATTTATTTTGAAATTTGAAATTGAATTATTTAAAAGCTTTACCAGGGACAAACATGACACTCAGGAAATATTGCACCAGATATTTGATCTAACAAATACATCACATATTTAACATAAGTTTATAAATTGGAAGACACTTTTAATATGAAATGATGAACCGCATGCAGATATTGCACATAGAAAACAGTAAAAATGGGAGATTTGGAAATGGAATGTTTCTTTTTGATACACTGTAAGGACTGTTCCAAATACCATTATGAATGTTCTTATTGTGGTATATAAGCAATGGGGTCTACATTAATTGATAGCATTGTATCGTGGCTCCGAGGAAATAAATAATGGCCAGGATCGCACCCTTACATATTTCTTGATTAGCCCTTTAAATAAATTATGGTCAGAAGATTGAAAACCATTAAGCAAGTGGCACTGTATGACTAGAGACCAAAATGAAGGCACTGTATTTCTCCCCGACACCTTTTTACTCTCTAACCTAATGTAAAACAAATGACTAGAGTTGTTTTACCTAATTTACACAGATATATATAATTGCACCTTGTAATGAATTCACCCTCTTTATCAAAGGTGAAAATAAAATGTTGTAGAGTATTAATTTCCTATGTGCACTGTACTTTGTTTTTATCTTAAAAACTTATGGAATCCAATATGGTATTAATTTTTCACTTGCTCAATGATATACATCGGCCAGAGATTGAACTGTGAGCGAGTTACGAAGAGTGGCTACGTCAGTAGGAAGGCTAGAGAAGAACTGGACAGCTTTCTTGGGACTGATCATCAGAAAACCGTTGTCTGAAAATCTGCCTTTAACATCATGAGCATCCAACCACACAAACACGGAAATCTTGTCTGTTGCTATGGTAACATTGTACACCTGTTTGTCTGTTGAAGTCTGCTGTACATCGGCCACCTGCAGGAACAACATGTATGTAAAACTTACAATTCTCAATATAAAAGGCATTTAATATCAATAGGATATTTTTTGAATAAAATGTTTTTCTTTTAATACAGTGTACAGTATGTGTATTTCACCATATGAGTGAAATATAAATGGTATATTATTCAACGGGAAAACAATTTAATTTTCTGTTTATTACATTTCAAAACTATCTAAAATGGCAAAAAAGTACTTACCACAATAATTTATGACTTAATAGCATAATCAATGGTACCATACTATTCTATGTGATGTCATGCTTGACAACAAGGCTGCACTTTCGTTTTTTACAGTTTTAAGTTTTCTGCTATTATTTGGTAAGATTTGCCAGCATGAATGTTTTCAATTTTCTAGTTGACTAATTACCTTATTTTAAATAACAAAGACGTACCAAAACAATAATTTATTCTACCATCTCCTTTATCTATATCTGCATGAACAGAAAAATGTGGACTGGCTATGAATGACTTAAAAAGGATGCACCAATCTGATTGGTCAATACAAAAAGTGTCACACTGAGATAAATATCACTTTTGAAACCGTCACAGTGTTAAAGATAGCAGTTTTAACAAGTCAATAGAATTTAATTTTTCAAAGGCAAATATATATGTAATAAATTTGCTGTTTCAAAAAAGAAGATCAAATATTTTTGTTGTACATGTACAATAGATTTGAAGACTAAGTTTGGTAAGAAAGACTAGCTATTCCACGTGGACAACATACTTATCCTACACTTTCCAAGCTCAAGTTTCAACTCAGCTTCATGTAAAGGGTAATATGAAGTATATTGGTGGTCTAAATGTGATACTGCTTACCTGTGTAACAGCATTTTCAAGTCCAATAATATTTTTGTATTCTGTTAGTGGTTGCCAGGCAACTGGTTCGTTGTTAGGGTCCCCAAGGTGGAAAAATAGGAAACAGAAATTTTTCCCCTGGTTACAATCAGCCTCCGTCATCAAAGTGATTGTATTTTTAAAGAAGACAAGCTCCGAAGTTTCATTTAACTGAAAAAAAAAAAGTTAAAAAATTATCCGTCAGTATTTAGTATGAGATTGAAGATTTTAAAGGAAAGTAAAGTTGCTTATCCAAAATTGAGATTCTGTTATGATGACAGTTAATCCTAACATACCAAATGTAAATTGAGGGACTAGTCAAGACATCATTTTGATGACAATACAGAAGGGGCAATAACTCTGTAAAACGGTGTTTGGGTAATATTCATGCCACATATCCACAACAATTTATAAAGGTAGTTATAAGTTAATGTATAATGCAAAACTAACATAGTGTGACTTTTAGGGACATATATGAATAAATGCCAAGCTGACTTACCGAGTACTGTTGAACCCAGCTATGTAGAGGTGTAAAGCTATGCCAGGAATACATGACAACATGTAACTGTCCTGAGAGTCCTAAACCATGCACCTTACCGAGACCAGTACTGCGAACAAAATAACCAGGAAAATAAAAAGTACCTCACTAAGTCGTTAAGTGAGGAAACCTCAAGTCCCTTGCTGAGGAAAGAATTATAAAGTACATATTGTTTAGTAACTCATTCTTTGGGGACAGAATTATTAACATCACATACGTAAGGTGAACATCAAAGATTGTTGAGGGGGACTGTGGGATTAGTAGTCAAGTCAACCTTTTGTTTGTGTCAAGGATGTGGCATACCTGTAAAAAAGGCTCAAGTCAAATTTTATGTTGAGGACAATTCTACCTGTAACTGAGTTAAACCACTTGTACTTAGGTATAAAAGTAAGTTTTTATTGAGGACATGACCTACCTGTAACTGAGTTAAACTACTTGTACTTAGGTATAAAAGTAAGTTTTAATTGAGGACATGACCTACCTGTAACCGAGTTAAACTACTTGTACTTAGGTATAAAAGTAAGTTTTTATTGAGGACATGACCTACCTGTAGTCAGGTCGGAAAGTCAACTTCTGTGTGTCGGGATGACGATGCTCCACCACTGGGATATGGTCAGCTATTAGGTATACACAGACATCCTCGCCATCCAGGTAAGGGGAGATAAGCAGAGGTGCAAAGAAATGCCTTGCAAAATAATGTAACATTTTCCACGTTCCACCATATTCTGAAACGAAACATTTTCGGTTTTACATGATCAAAAGTACTTTTATCATCAAGTTAAACAGGTTTATTTTGGTAAGCGAATATGATATGCTGATTCTGTTTGAAAATTGATGTTTTTCTCTCATATAAATAAAAAAAAACTATAATCAACTTTAATCAAAACATATTTAACATAGACATACAGTTCCAGGTCCTTCAATGTTGGTAAAATCATGTTTTACTGTTAAAAAAAATAGCTTTCTCTTTTTGCTTTCCCAATTAAAGCATTTCTAATCATGGAGAAAAAAACAACTTAAGAGGCCCAAGAAGGGAATGTATAACAAACCTAAAGAGGCCCAAGTGGGGGCCTGCCAGATATCATTGAGTTGCCAGTACATTGCCCCCATGGTGTTGCCTCGGCCCGACTCATCGAGACGATTCTGCCAGCGACGATAATGTTCAGTCTCTGCCTTAATACCGACAGCTTGAGTAATCTCGAAAACAGAATACAACAAAACTTGTCACATATACTACTAGTGATTTAGTCTCACAGCTGGGTTTAGATTTAATGTTATTTGATTTACAGTCAACAGCCGTAGCTAATTATTTATCAGAACACCAATATATCTTAGGGCTTATCATTGCACATTACTTTTTTCAAGCCATGAATATAAAGAATAAATGGGCAATGAGAAAATGAAATCTATGTCTAGCAAGCACTATACTTTAATGTTCTACGACTATTTTGATAACATAACCTCTTTATCATCTTCATGGTGACCCTGTTATCAGGTCTGGTTGAGGGACGATAAAGTTTACGATATTGAAATAGTGATATCACAAACTATTTATCACTAAACAGTGTTGGTATTAATTGCTGTGTTGAGATGTCATCTTCAGGATGAAGTCAAAATTTAAAAAAAAACCTGCATCATCTGTTGTGAATTACAGTCACTACTTAAAGGTCAAAGTCACCATACATAACACAATGTCGAAATCTGAAGGTCAATGTCAGCCGATGGAGGTCACTCACCTGTGTTAGGTAAATGCTATCTTTGAATCTCTGTTTCATGTCAGTTTTGTTGGGAAGAGAGAACAGCATGCTGATTTCAGCCATTAGCTCAACATTACCTGGAAGAAAAGAATGAGAGATAGGTTATTTAATTAGACGTACGTGTACACTCATACCAGGCATGTTCCTGATATGAAGGGTATTTAATATTGAACTTTTCAAAAAAGCAAACCAGTATAAAATATTGACACACCTGCTGGGTGATGTTGTCTGTACTCGTTAAGATCTGACCAGTAGGTGAGGTCATCTGGGGCGTAAACTTTCTTCAGTGTGTCGTAGGAGGGGTAGGACTGGAGACCATACTCGGAGGAAAACCGAGGTATCCGGTACGTCTCGTCCAGGTAAAACGGCAACAGGTACTTATACTCGTGGACTGGAACAGATATTTGTAAAATAGTGCTTACTTCTAGAAATCAGGTGTAAACATAATATATATTATGCTTGTATTTAGCCATGATTAAGGATAATTAGATCTCATGTATGCATGACAACAGTATGTTTATGACATGGTAAACTTATGATGACAGCATAAAAACAGCAGATAACAACATGGTAACAGTATGCTTATGACATGGTAAAATTGTGATGACAGCATAAAAACAGCAGATAATATCAACATGGTAACAGTATGTTTACAGTACAATATACAACACAATAACAGCATTATGCATGTAAAAACATAGCCTTGCAGTATTGTTATGATAACATAACAGTCCTATAGTACGGTTTTATGTATTGACCATATAATATGATATATGTTTGATATCTGTTTGATGACAATGAGATGACAGTATAATGACAGTTAAATTACGGTATAGTAACAGTACAATAACCACACATAGTTCAATGTCAGCATGATAACATCAATGTTAGGAGGAAAGTATAATAACAGAGTATGACTGCATTTGAGATAAGCTGGCATACTTGCAAAAAGTGGCCTTACATTTTTTTTGGTTCTTCAAAGTTGGTATACAGTGTCTAATACATACTTATGATCTATGACAACTACACATAATACATACTGTCACCGTAGAGCTCACTCCAAGGCTCAGCAGCCACGCCCCCTTCCTGCTGACTTTCCACACCGTTACCGGGACTAGACAGGATGAAGGGCCGACTTGAATCCTCTCTGGCCACCAGGGGAGCCATGAGGCCTTTGTATAAAGTCAGGTAATCACTCTTGTACAGGGTGAAGTTTGAGTTGGTATTGTACCTGTGAGGCCAAAGTGATACCATAAAATCATCTATAAATTATCCAATCATACAATTCTGTACGTAACCTTTAGGAGTAAAACACCCGAGAAATTCTTTTAATATTACGAAATACAGGTTTTACCAATACTGTAGGGGAATCGAAGGGTACCAGCTGGTTGATCGTCCGCAACCAAGTAGCTCAATTGATAGAGCATCCATCTAGAGTTCAGAGGGTCCCAGGTTTGAACCCTGGCCTGGCCATGCATTTTGCAATCTCCTGTTACAGTGGTGCCATTGACCAACCCATGTTTCAAGCATTGGGTGTACGCTTGGCATGGGGATACCCGAATCTGGGTTGCTCCATTGAGACACAACATATTACTAACTGCTACACCACTATAGTTGAAATCAGTTTACTTTTGTTAAAAAAATCTGACTTCGGTAAAATATTTATGATATTACAGGAAACATTTAGGGAGACATGACCGTTTATTATAACAATCAGGCTTAACCCTTTCAACCCTATGTAACTTTAGTAGACTCTACCATGCATTGATCTGGATGAGTCCATTATGGTCTGGAGTGGTGAAAGGGTTAAGGGCAAAACTTATAATTATAAGCTTGAACATTAAATAAAATTGGGGTCTGTCAAGAAGGGTCAAATAATACTGAGTATAACAGAAAAATTGAGACTTATAGAGTACAGGTTAGTAGTTCTGATGAGTATAGAACAGTACTTACCAACTTTGGATCAGAGCTTTCTCGTTCTCATTGTTTCCGCTCCAGATCACAATAGAAGGATGATGTTTCAGTCTTCGAACCTTAGACATTGTAATAAGTGACTTTAAGTGACATATGAACTTTTAATATCAAAATGTCACGGTGACCATTGCTTACTTGGTAATTATTTCCAAGGTAACTATTATTTATATATAATTACATTGTATTTCCAAGGTAACTACTAGGTATTATTTATATATAATTACATTGTATTTCCAAGGTAACTATTATCTATATATAATTACATTATATTTCCAAGGTAACTACTATTTATATATAATTACATTGACTGAGTTAAACTACCCGGTATTTCCAAGGTAACTATTATTTATATATAATTACATAATACTCAGTATAAAATATGCATGATGACAATTACATGCTATGTATTCAGTTTCCTTTGCAACTTTTTCTTTCTTGGATATTTAATTTCTTTGATGACCCTAACTTAATTGGTGTTTAATTTCCACCTTGAATAATTATTTGGAATTTAAGTTCTATCGTGGCCGTTTCTTACCGAATATTTAATTTCTAGGTAGGCCGTTACTTACCTGGTGTTCGATTTCCATAGCTACACTGTCCATGAATGACTTGTGTACTGGGTACATAGCGCACCCAAACATAAAATCCTGCCAGATCATAATGCCGAGACGATCTGCTGTGTCGTAAAACTCCTCCGTCTCATAAACCTGTGGAGCATTAAACAACTCGTATCAACCTTTCTTTATCAATATTTCCAGTATAATATATACATGTGTAGTGTACAATCTTATTTCATTAATTTTTAGCTCACTTAGCTCAAGGATTTTGACCAAATTTGTTCTAGAGCATCTTTGGACAAAGGAGACTCAAGTTTGTATAAATGGAGGGTGTGGCCTCTCTGGGGGCGTAGTGACAGGGCCCAATATATAGGGGAAATAGAGGATTTTTTTTTTCTCCTACTATACAAGTGAAGGGATTAAAACCAAATGCAGTCTGAAGCATGATTAGGGACAAAAGAATCAATTTTGTATAAACTGAGGTGTGTGGACCCCCTTCTTTGGGGCAGATGGGTGGGGCCCATTATGGGAAATAGAGGAAAACATTAAAGATCCTTCTCCTTCTGTACCGTTGAAGGGATTTTAACCAAACTTGTTCTGGAGAATTAATTTGTATACAAAGGTGCATGTGAGGCACAAAAGGGGAAATAGAGGAAGTTTGTAGGTCGTTTCAAAGCGGTTCACAAATTATTATCTGTGGCTATAGGTCCTTTGCAACCAGACAATATGTTTCTCAACTCCCTGGGGAGAATACAGCCGGTGCTACCATTTCTGCTCTCACATGTACAGCTAGCATTCAACAATTCTAGCACTGCCCAAACACATATTCATTTACAGCTGAGTAGACTGGAACAAGTGAAGTAAAGCATCTTGTTTAAAGATACAACACAGTGCCGTGACGTGACGTGACGTGACTCGAACCCGCAACCCTTTGGTCACGAGCCTGGCTTTCTACCACTAGACTACCGTGCCTCCTAATAAAATAATAATAGAGTGATGTCTCAAATCCAGATTCTAGAAATAATTTTGACTTCAGGTATATATTTTAAGCCAAAATTAAAACCAGAAGTTTTACATATGTGTTACAGGAATGTTCCACACATATCTACCAGTATAATTGATTTACCCCTTAATTTGTCCAGAGAATTAATCCTTATCACTACCAAGAAAACAAGTCTTTGTGATAATTAATCGAAGTTTTATACTTAACTTTTAAAAAGATGTTAAAATGTACATTAATGTAATAGCTTATCCGGCTGAATGTTGGTACGAGTCATAAAGTTTTAAGTTAAAAAACCTGTTAAAAAAACATTTGTCATCTTGTTAAAAGGTTTAAATACTAGCTAATAGCGATAACCAACAGGGAAAAAGTCTACACTTTCCCTGTAATAAACTGTATACTTACACCACCTCCCCACACTCGAAGCACATTCATGTTGACGTCTGCTGCAGCTTGTAACAGCTCATTAACGTAACTGGGTGTCACTCTATCAAGGAACACATCGGCAGGGATCCAGTTAGACCCCTTGAAAAATATCGGTCTGCCATTGATCTTAAAGTAAAATGTTCGTCCTGGAAAATAATCAATCATTATAATCATTGTAGTAAGTAATTTCAAGGTACTTTATAAAGAGGTGAAATGGTGATTGGTTATTTTTGTGGTAGAGGCTGCAAAATGAATTTACCGGTAGCACATTGTCGAATTCACAGACTCGGGGTATGCAATTTTGGTTCTTACAGCAGCAAAGAATGGTTCACACAAATTTTTGAATGGACAGGATGGGTTATTGTTTTAAGGCAAATGCTATTTTCATAATCTTGCATGAATCACTACTGACCCAATAGCCACAAAAACTGAAGGTATCCAACTCAGCACCAATTCCTTATTTGATTTTCCTCACGAACACAGAAATAACTCTCGTACTGTGATCAATCCTATACAGTCTATAACAATTTAAGTGTCGAGCTAAAATGTACCTTAGCAAACCACAGAGTAGCTAATATACAAGTCAAATACAGTACAAAGTTACAGTTAACTTTTTTTCGGTAGTTGATGTTCCTAAACTCTAACATTGTACTGTATTTTTTTATTTATTTTTTTAATCTGGAAAAAAAAAAAAAAAGCACAATGTTACAGTTTAGGAACATCAACTACCGAAAAATATTTGTTTGATGTTGTTCAGTAATTTACATCGTGGAGCCTTACAATACCCAGCACTTGGCAGATCGCAACTTCAGTAAATATTCAATACATGTACACTCTGAACAAAGTTCATCTTCATGTCTGATTGAGTCATGTTTAATATCTAACATTTGATTGGTTATGATAAGTCTTGTTCGATTCAATGATCAAACCATTCAGTCTTCAGGATCAGATCAGGACAGTTTGTATAATGTCTCTTGAAGGGAAGTTTCCTTAGTTGAGACAAAAGTCATCATTTAAACGCTGACCATATATATCTAAATTTTGATTGGCTGACACATAGCCATGACTTATATGATAACCTTATAATTACCTAAACTTTGATTGGCTGACACAAAGCCATGACTTATATGATAACCTTATAATTACCTAAACTTTGATTGGCTGAGACGAAGTCTTGTACGACCTCCACTGTTCTGAACCCTACGTTGACCTTCTTGCCCGACATTTCCTGTCCGTCTGAGCTGGTGAAGAAGACATACAGCTTGTACATCGTCTGGTTGCCATGGCCGTTAGGCCACCACTTCTTGATGGGCACTGACTGCACAGAACACAATCCTAGTTAATAAGGTTCTGGCATATATTTCATAACCTACCAGGTAGCTATAGCTAATGTATCAAGCAACATCAATCTTACAACACATGCAAAAAAATTATCAAAATCAAAATATTTCTAACATGGGTAATCAAACACATCAATCTGATTAAAATCATATGTTACATGGCTTCGTTAACTTCTTACTACGCCTGAACATCTGAGTTTTCCGCGGTCAGGGTCACATTCAGGTGACCTTTATATTAATAAATACTCATTAAATTTTGACCAATCAGAGACCCTCTTTCAAAAGGGCGCTCGGAGTTGTAACAAATATGGCGAACATTGATGAGAATGATGCGAAAGTACTGAAGTTATTTGAGATTGATCGTCTGAAACCCGAACAGAAAAAGATATTCAAAGCTTTATTAGAGAAGAAAGACTCTATGGCGGTGTTGCCTGCGCAATGATTACCCGATGGGTACGTTTTCCTTGGCGTCGTAGAAACGACAGTTCCCGTCTCCATGTTTGTTTTGGAAAACTAATCTGTTCGATACCCCTCGCTATTTATCTATCAAACATGATATTCCGATTCGCGGGCAAACTTTTGCCAGCGTGCCTCTGATTGGTTCATCTAAAGGTCACTTGAACGTGACCCTGACAGCGGCACATTCAGATGTTCAGGCGGAGCCATGTAACAGATGATTTTAATCAGATTGTCAAACACATCTGAATCTGTCCCCGACTCATTTCGTCAAATTTCCTAGAATTGGTATAACTGAGGGGTATATAATTATATTTTAATAATTAATTGCTGACTTCTTCTCAAATGAATTGAAAAAGAGAAGAAAAACATCACAAAGATATATGTTAATTATCATAGCAACACCAATACAATTTTGTACAACACTTGTACAAATCCAATGTGTCAAAGGTTCTAAACATTTTTGAGTGAAGGAAAGTTTTTCAAAATTATATAAAACAAATTTCAAACTGTAAAGTTTTGATATTACAAATTGTTGATTGTACATATATAATACGACATACCTTCGGGATAGCGATAGACACGGACACTGAGCTGTTTTCTCTGGTCAAGCTGACTGGTGCTCGGTGAGTGACCGTCGTTCCATCCAGTCGTACTTCTAGGTCACCGCCAGTCGACTGACCATCTGGGATGTCCATGAAAACCTCGGTGTTGAGTGTCCAGCTGTTGTCACTTCCTGTCACAAAAAACAAATATGTCTGTCTGATGATTGTCACATAGTATTCAGTGATCCAATTTTTTCTGTCATCACAAACAAAAATAAAAACTTCACTCAGTCAATATTCGGTGTGTTTCCCAAAACGTGAATGTTAATTACATGAAATAAAAGAATAATACAGTTCCTGAATGCAGGTTTCAGGTAATATCAAATGAGGCTATGACTGTTAATATTAATTATTACTGGAAGATGGTTACCATAGTTGCATGCCTCAAATATATATATAGTGGCTTCCCTTTACTTGGCTTTCATACTTTACCTAAGATGGTTTCCGTGGTGACATGCTGGATGACCCCATGGTTAAAACTCTGTACATAAATATTTTTCCTGAAACAACGTATTTCAGTTTTAATTTATTATACAGGAGATTCCACTTAGTATCACATTTTTGGTTAATATCACATTTTTGTTAAAATCATGTTTATTAGTATCACATTATCTATACACATATTCCATATACATGGTCTTTTGATATATATTAATTCTATTTGTTTTATATCATGCTATTTGACATGAAGTTTTCTTAATATAATGTTCTTCTGCTTGTTTCCCAACAAATCACATGAAGACTTCTTCTTGCTCTGTGAGTGTACACTGTTTTGTTATAAATCACACTGTCTATCCTATCAAAATGTTCAGAAGTATGGCTTTGTACAGTATTTATAGATAATCTTTACAGTAATCACATCTCAGGTTGAGGTTACAAATGTGACATCAAGTTAAAAAATATTCCCTGTGTGTAGCATATCTATCATATTCCCTGTGTGAATACCTACCATGTTCACTGTGTGAATACCAACCATATTCCCTGTGTGAATACATGTACCTATCATATTCCAGGTGTGAATACGAACCATTTTCCATGTGTAAATACCTACCACATTCCCTGTGTGAATACCAACCATATTCCCTGTATGAATACCTACCAAATTCCAACCACATTCCCTGTGTGAATACCTACCATATTCCCTGTGTGAATACCTACCATAGTCCCTGTGTGAATACCTACCATAGTCCCTGTGTGAATACCTACCAGTCCCTGTGTGAATACCTACCATATTCCCTGTGTGAATACCTATCATATTTCCTGTGTGAATACCTACCATATTCCCTGTGTGAATACCCTCCATATTCCCTGTGTGAATACCCTCTATATTCTATGTGTGAATACCCTCCATATTCCCTATGTGAATACCTACCTACCATAGTCCCTGTGTGAATACCTACCATAGTCCCTGTGTGAATACCTATCATATTCTCTGTGTGAATACCTACCATATTCCCTGTGTGAATACCTATCATATTCCCTGTGTGAATACCCTCCATATTCCCTGTGTGAATACCCTCCATATTCCATGTCTGAATACCCTCCATATTCCCTATGTGAATACCTACCTACCATAGTCCCTGTGTGAATACCTACCAGTCCCTGTGTGAATACCTACCAGTCCCTGTGTGAATACCTACCATAGTCCCTGTGTGAATAACTACCATAGTCCCTGTGTGAATCCCTACCATATTCCCTGTGTGAATACCTACCATATTCCCTGTGTGAATACCTACCATATTCCCTGTGTTGGGAAGGATGGACCCCAGTCCCAGCTGAAAGAACTTTGCATCTTCCTGATCATGTTGGCGTGGCAGTCTCCGCGGTAATTAGGGACGGGACACTCCGGAGGAACAACATAGTCTGCATTTTGTGCTTGTTGAGCAGCATACTTTACCGCAGATTTGAAAGATATTTTCACAGTATTTTCACCAACCTGTGAATATTAAAAAACACATAAAACATTGTTAAACTGCAGATTCTTTGATTATCATAATAATCATAACACAGGCTTTAGAAGATTGGTTTCTTAAGGTTATATACATGATGGTGTAACTATAACCTAAGTTGAATTCTTAAGTTTTGTCAAATATGTATTAAAAACAAAATCTAACTCAGGGTAATGCATGGGTTATTTAAATCTTAGGTAATTACGAAGGTATATAATGTATTCATGCTGACAATGAGATAAGATATCATTTGACATACTGACTGACTATTATGGGGTATATATTTGATACATTTTCAAGAATCTGTACCCCTAGGTACTTAAGTTATATAGGGCAATTGTTGAAAACTAGGGATACAGACAACTGTTTTTGGGGGTGAAAAACCCTCATTTTGGGGTTTCTGGGAACACTGTTAACTCCAGTGTTACTTACAACAGGTAGGACAATTCAAATGTTACTTATGATAGGTAGGTACATTTCATGTGTTATTAGTGCCAGAGAGGTCACAGAGGTTAGTAGCTTGTTACTGACTTGGAAGGATGGAAATGTTCACCTTAAGCTTGTAACAGGAAAGAGAATAGTGTGCTTCCACCGGGGATCAAACCCATGATCCCTAAGTTGCTAGTCTCACACTCCACCATTGAGCTAAAGGGAAATTCCCTCTACTTCGATGCGAGAAGGCAACCTCAATACTATATACAATTGAAATTTGCCACACTACTCTGGATCCCCCTTTTTTTTTAAGAAATTGTGTTCGCCCTCAAACACCACTGGGTTCTAACTCCCTGTCACCACAGGGAGGGCCACTGACACCATTTGTAACACAAAATAGAATAGTGTGTTCACACCGGGGATCGAACCCATGATCTCTGGGCTAGGTTTCTAGTCAGACGCTCTTCCACTGAGCTAAAGGGAATTTCCCTCTTGCTCGAAGCTAGAAGGCAACCTTATTCCTATATACTACAATAAAAATCTGCCACACGCTCAAAAGGTAGAACAGAGAACTAATAATCTATAATCCAGGGTTTAACCCCTAGAGGATACACATGGGTAAAAATTGACCTTGGAACACCCTAAGGATCCAAGTACCCCTGCAAACAGTAACTTTACACTAGAAATTAATTTTGCTGACATGGCTACAGCTTCGGTAAATAATTTATGAAAAGAAAACCATACCTTGACAGACGTTTATGAAAATGAATACAAATGAAAATTTGATTGAAATAAAACATCAGCAGGACCTGTCACCAAACTGGGATTTGAACCCTGGACTCAAGGTTGTCATACTCTCACTCTAACCGACTGTGCTACCTGCTGATCTACAGAAGTCTCCTGGCCAGTATCTGGTTCAGTTATATCCCAAACGAAATTAAGGGGAGGTTACTGTATGTACAAAAAGTACATTGCAGGGGGACAGGGATCTTTAAACAATAGGTGCGGTAATTCATGGGTAACTTACAACAGCAGCAGGCTTGATGTTGAATGTATACTGGACAAACATATTGTCTGATTCCCCGACGAGCTTCCCGTTGATGAAGACCTCAGCAACCGTATCCAGTCCGTCACAGACCAGCTCCAGCGTATTCTGTCCCACCATTTTAGTGGAAACTAAATACAGAGGACAGTAGGCTTCTGTTTATCAATATGCTATGTCAGCGGAGCCATGAAAGCAATCTGAGATAAGGGGATCAAAATATTTGTTTTGTTTCCATTATCAGTGCTCAAAAAAACTAGTAACGTTAGGTAGGTATACCTGGTAACTTCTTTCCATATAACAAAAATGTTAAACATTTTCCATTAAGACAACATTACAGACTTTAATAGATTTTAAAGGGAATATTTTAAAAGAATAGGTAAAAATGTGATAAGGGATCCTGAAATCTAGAGCAAATAGTATAGGAACAGCAGAAACAGAATCTGCCGGACCTCTTAGGAAGGTGATCAAGATCAGATTCAGTCGCAACGAAAACATTACTTTTCAATATCTAAAGTTTGAAAGTTCAACACCATTGTATATATATATACTCTACACATACAGGCTTCAAAACACATTTACTTCTGGTCATCCTTTTATTTAGCCATAACATGGTCATTGCCCCAATATATAAGCTAATGGTGTTGACGAGTGCAAGACAATTGATCATTAGTATAAAATTAAGTGTTCTTACATGTCATGCCCATGTATATCATCATAATGTTTAATTTAACTACTTAAAGAGTGTGTTCCACATATATATACATATTTTTTTTTGGGGGGGGTAAGACAGAAGATAGTCAAACCTTGAAATGTTCGACTGTAGGACCAGTCATCCCTGGAAATCCAACGATACAGTTCATCGTTTTTTCTGTAATACGGGTCTTGGATCATGGCACTCCCCAAGAGGGCTGTATACATGTTCCCAGGGACTTGTCCAATGACAGATGATCCTGTAACAGAAAATCAAAAGGTCATAGAGATAGATGTTAAAATACAGGTTTTTCTCCACAAAAGGGGTTGAGTTGTCCTGATCCCAAGGAGTCCATCCCTGGATCCACCAATAAAAAAGAGATATATCTGGTGGACTCCACATCATTACTGTTACAAAATTAAAGAAAAAGTTGTCAGGAATTATTCTATTCTTTGAAACATGAAACATAAACACGCTGGGTGTAGTACTACATGTTAAGGGATATAAAAACACCAACAATATAAGAAACTAGGAATAAGAATAAACATGAGTTTTATAAATTGTGTTCAGTAACAGAGCTCTGGTTCAGTTAATGATCGACCCTTACTATCTCCTCCATTGTTAGAGGTAAAAGTACAAATCGAAAAAATACCATTGATAACTTATATTATAATATATACAAGAGGCCCAATGGGCCTGCATCGCTCACCTGGTATTAATCTCACACTTGTTATCTTAAAAGTGGACTAAAATACAGCTACAGACAGAATATCAGTGTCTGATTCATAAGAACCTATTAAAAGATTTAAACATATGACGCCTGTGACCTTGAATGTCGAACAAGGACATTAGGTTGAACAGAGCTTATAGTCTTCCAACCCAGCATGCTTCTGGCAAAATATCATTTCCCTGGACCTTTTGGTTATACAGAACAAATCATTTAAAGATTTAAACATATATTGACCACTGTGACCTTGAATTTGGGTGAAGGTCATTCATTTGGTAGTCCTTCATCCCAGCATGGCCAAATATCATCACCCTTGGCCTTTTGCTTATTAAGAAGAAGTCATTCAATGTTTTTTAAAAATATTTGACACATGTGACCTTGAATATATATGTCAAGGTCATTCATTTGAACAAACTTGGTAGTCCGTCATCCCAGCATGTTACTGGCATTATCCTAGGCCTCTTGGTTATTCAGATGAAGTTGTTTAAAGGTTTAAAACATATTTGACCCCTGTGACCTTGAAAAAAGATAAAGATCATTCATTTGAACAAACTTTGTAGCCCTTCATCCCAGCATGCTACTAGCCAAATATCATCACCCTAGGGCTATTGCTTATTCAGAAGAAGTTGTTTAAAGGTTTAAAACATATTTGCCCTCTGTGACCTTTAATATAAGTCAAGGTCATTTATTTGAATAAACTTGGTAGCCCTTCATCCCAGCAATAAATTGTTACTTGCCAAATATCATCATCCTAGGCCTCTTGGTTATTCAGAAGAAGTTGTATAAAGATTTTAACATATTTGACCCCTGTGACCTTGAAAATGATTGAAGGTCAATTATTTGAACAAACTTGGTAGCTCTTCATCCCAGCATGTTACTGGCCAAATATCATCATCCTAGGCATTTCGGTTATTCAGAAAAAGTTGTTTAAAAGTTTTAAACATGTTTGACCCCTGTGACCTTGAATATAAATCAAGGTCATTTATTTGAACAAACTTGGTAGCCCTTCATCCCAGCATGTTACTGGCCAAATATCATCACCCTAGGCCTCTTGGTTATTCAGGAAAAGTTGTTTAAAGGTTTTAAACATATTTGACCCCTATGACCTTGTATATAAGGCAAGGTCATTTATTTGAACAAACTTGGTAGCCCTTCATTTCAGCATGTTACTGGCCAAATATCATCATCCTAAAAATTTATTACTAATAGATAACAAGATTCCACATGCCCCTGACCATATGATTTAAACAGACATGCGTTCATCAGAAAGCGGAAGGACAGAAAGCGGAAGGATAATAGTTTACATGTATAACTGATTTAACCTTATCTACAGAAAAAGGGAAGTATAATAACTCAGCTTGAGTACAAATACTACAGATAACGAGTACAACATTCAAGGTCTGGTACAAAATCCATGTAAGGGAAAAACTCCAAAGGTAACGGTACAAAATCCAGGTAATATCTTTTTAAAACCTAGACTACAAAAAAAGCTACATAACATGTTTTTTCACATGTTTAATTACTACAAATTACAATAAAACATGGGGAACATGAACCAAGTTAATATTCTCTTTATATGCTAAAAGATGGAAGCAGATAACACCTTCTTTCTAGTCCTTTTATCTTTAATAAACTCAAACCAGTGAGTGTTAGATTATTCCGGGGCAAACGGCTCCGTCCGACATTCTAACGTAACAGTTACAAATTAAAATGTAAACATTGTTCAGTGGTTTCGAAGGGGGGGATATTATCAATGCACATATCATCGGGGTTACAAAAACAAGCTTCAAGCGTTATGTCTCTTACCCCTGTTTTCATCTCGAACAGTCCAGTTCCCGTTAAGATTAACCGTGACAACTCCTCCGTAACAAACACAACACAGCGACGCCGTGAGCACGACAAGCAGCCCAATATTTTGACTCGCCATTTTTATGTCATGTGACTAAATATTGTACGTTTCCGGAACAAGCTATGTAAAAAAGCGCGGGATATTTGATGTTTGATGACGTCCTCGTTCCGCTGTTGTCTTTACTACAAATTTTTATGTATAATATATATTTTGAAAATACCATCGTTTCTCAATATGAATTCACTTTAAACATCCCGTCTGTTAAAAACATTTGAAGGGCATAAACAACGATTAAAGATACATTGTGCACTTTGTGTTGCCCAAGATTTGATCATGTACTCATGTTTTTGAAACTAATTAATGATAGATTATTGGAAGGGTTACACGCTGTCTCACGGCGGTACATGTAGTTATAAATCAGCGTTAGGATCCGGGAGAAAGGGGTAAGGTTTCGGAAGGCCTGTATAGCCGAGCTTTAAATGACAGACATACGCCCCAGAGCCCAACCTAATTAGGCTAGTACCCGACTTAACATCACAAATCCATATGGTACTATACGCTCGAAATCGGTGAAATGGTCTATATATATATATATATATGGTGTTTGATGTGACTCATGTGATCATAAAGAACGTACGTGTAATTATAGATGGACAGTCATCATCCGCCTCCACCGTTTCATCCGGATGTCCATAGGGAACAGTCTTAGGCCCACTACTTTTCCTTATAAATATTTATAATTATCTTATAGACGTGTCATTTTTCCTTTGATCTAGTCATGGTATAAACCAACCTGTTTTAGTTATACCATATATGGTATAATTGGGGCTCCACCCCCTTAGTTATTTCTCAGATTTGGAGAACCTCATTGGTCGATACACCTAATCCAATGAAATCGATGATTGCTTATTAGCGTCAAATAAGGCTGTCAGTTTGAGGTACTCTAAAACCGTGGGCAAATTTGAGAGGCCGGAAATAAATAATCGAAACTTCAACAATGTTTACAATTTAATCAATAAAAAAAATCAAAACAGTTGCAAATGATTACAGTATGTACATATCATAAATGTTAATTTAGTAGTAGAACTGACCGTTACTGCTGTTGATTGTATACATTGAACTGCAAAGTCAATAACATTTCAAATGTACATTTAGTGAAATTGAACAAACGATACCGTCGTTGATTGTACACATTAAACTGCAAGGTCAATAATATTTCAATGTACACATTGAACTGCAAAGTCAATAAAATTTCAAACATTCATTTAGTAGTAAAATTGAGAGATATCTGACAGTTGTGGAAAACCTGGCCCTGCCGTTATAAACGTCAGAAATGTTCGTTAACGGCATTACTGGAAGATTGTCTGTGGGTATCTTTTCCGTCAAAGGGTCATTGCCTGTGCGGGGCATGGTCGTTTGTAGGCTCCGACCGCCGTACTCCGGTGACCGGTCCTGGACATTAACAGCTGTTAGTCCACGCCTTTTTGGAACAAAGTTGTTGCGCAAGTGCGCTTTCCAAACTCTAACTCCGACTTTCTTTGTTATCTGTGTCATCATCATCCGTAATGGCAGAAAGAAGATATTTATCAAAATTTAATGTCCCCAAATCATGTTGAATAAGGCCTTCTAGTGCGTCATCTAGGTCCACATCGTCCTCGTAACGTTCCATTAGTTGTGATAAATGTGTGTCGTCAAATTCATCGAATGCTTCTACTTCGGACAGATCTGGCGAAGATTTGTTTACGTAATCTGACAGCTTGACCTCTAAGCTCGAACTGATTGAATAGATTTGGGTTTTCGCACACTTCAAATCACGTGACACTATATGCGACAAAAAAGTTATACCATAGGCTCTCGCGGATATGCCCCTCGAGGGGCGGGGCTCAACCCTCTCGTTGTGATAACTGACATATTCGTCGAGTCTATGATCTACCATTCCAAATTTCATCAACCATTCGACATTTCGTGGACGATCAAGAACCGAAACGACCAGGCGCTCCTTCAAAAGGACCTTGGCAAGTTGCAACAATGGGAAAACCAGTGGCTTAAATGAAGTTTAACCGGATAAATGCGAGGTGCTTCTGGTTACCAACAGGAAGTCACCATTGTTTGCCAACTACTCAATCCACGTCAGGTGCTGAACGCTGTTGACTCGGCAAAACACCCGAGTTTAACCTTGCATGTAGATAAGTCATGGCAAGGCACAATGTAACACCACACTTGAACATCCCACCATTGAATCATCCTCGATATCCAGGGGTTACGCTCACTTTTGCTCTCTGCACCTTTGGAATATGTCATAGCAAAATTAAAGGTTCAGTGTGCGCTACCTTGTTGATTAGACAAGGAGACTAGTGCGATCCTTTGATGTACACCAAAAGAATTTCGCGGTCACGTAACGGTAAAAATTAATTGACAGGCTATGAAGACGGGCGTCTCTCCTTTGTAATCTTCAAAGGACAGGTATCGGCCGAGCGATTGGTCAGTTTATTTTACCTGAGACCAATCAAATAGCTGTCTTTGTGCCTTCAATTTTGCTATGACATATTCCAGGGGTGTAGAGAGCGAAAGTGAGCGTACCCCTGGATATCGAGGATGCCATTGAATAGGCTTCCAGCGTGTGGAGCCCACCCAAAAAAGAAACATCAACAAGATAGAAGCAGCCGATCGGTCAGAGCAGCCATACTATCAGCGTAGCAACTCCAGTAACAGACTCTTCAGATCAGAAGAGAGAACGCACAATTTATTATACTATACAGGATAGTGTACCATATCTACAGAGGACATGTATGTGGACAAGAGGACACACCTGTACTACTACATTCCCGAACAACTTTGTACAAGACGTCATTTTCCTCAAAAGCAATAAGGCTTCGGAACAAAATCCCAGGGAACATATGTGGAGGCCGGCAGGCTGGACAGCTTCAAGATCCAGCAATCTAGATCCGCGCAACTTTAGACGCAATCCTTTTTTACGCACTCACTGTACATAGACGTTCATCGAACTCACGCAGAATGTGAAGATACTTCAGTGGTTTGCACTATACGGAAAAAGAAGAATTTACAGGTATGTCGAGTATCGTCTACAAGTCCCCTAGAAACATCCTGGAGTTGTATGCAGTGTCATTGTGACATGCCAAACTTCTCTCTGTCCCTATTTTACACAAGTATCCACGAGTCAAATTATTCCTTTGATGCATTTAATGACATCAAGGTACCAGACATTAGCTTTGACAACATCCTCTCTACACAGGGATAGTAACAAACCTAATTCCTATAGGAAACATAACCTGCAATTAAGAATAGCGTCTACTCATGTCAACAAGCACCTCCAAAGAAAGATGCTCAGTAGATCTTAGAGCAGCAAGCCATGTATTGATGGGAAGATCAGAAGAGAAATTAGACGGACAAGCAGACTTAGGAAAAAACAACAACAAACACGAAAATCAGAGGGCATACAAAGAAAGAAGGCCACAAGATCCAATACGCATGAAATAATCCGACAATCCTACTGCAAAAAATATTGAAAACATGATCGTAATAGGTGAACAAAATGATAATCAGTCCAAACAAAAAGCTTTCTGGTGGTATAAAAAGGCTCTAAGAAAAGACAACTCTGGCGTAGCACCCCTGAAGGAGGACAGAAACTGCACTCAAGGCAGTACAAATCAGTCTAGTGTTTATCATGAAACCCTTACATATGTCCCGTGTCTGCCAGGTACGTCATATCCTTCTATGCAGGAAATCATCAAAGAAGAGAAAGGGGTAAAGAAGCTGCTCAGAAATATCAACACCAGTACGACGAGTGGACCCGATAACATTTCAGCAAGAATACTAAAAGACCTCGCCGAGGAAATATGACCTTTTCTAACGATAATTTTTAACAACTGCTTAAGATTAGATAAGTACCATCAGATTGGAAGAGAGCGAATATTAGCAGTCTTCAAGAAAAGAGAGAGGTATAAAGCAAGTAACTATATATCGGCCTGTTTCTCTTACATGCATATGCTGTGACAGATTATCGTGTTTTATGGGTTTCAGCACGACGGATTCAAGAGAAGCTGTGAGGCCAAGCTCCTGACACTGTCAATACCTTTCGAACAATCTCGATTCTGGCCTACAGACATGCAGATATATTTTTCATGGATCTCTTTAAAGCGCTCGGCCGTGTGCCACACCAATGCTGTTCGAGGAAGCTAGTCTTCTATGGCATGCGGGCCAACTCATTCTTGGATATGGAGCTTTCTGAAAGGACGGAATAAGAGGGTAATGGTAAAAGGATAAACATCAGAATAAGCCCCAGTTGTCAATGGAGTACGCCATGGGACCTGTTTCGTCCCTCCTTTTCATAAATGACCTTCCTAACAACGTCACAACTATAAGATCAGATTATATGCAGATGACTGCATTGTTTACAAGGCAATAAGAGGAAAAGAATGCAGCAATAAACTGTAACAAAACCTAGCAGAACTGGATGTTTGGGGGGGAGGGGTTCCATCCAGAGGAGTGTCCTGCGATTCACGAAGAACAGGAACAGAGGCGGTCCAAGAGCTAGGGGTGTCACCAGCGAACGTGACACCCCATTGACTTAAAACAATAGTATACATATACTACATCAATCGTGTTACATTCCCAAGCTCTGTTTTGTGTGCGCACTGTAACCTTAAAGGGCCTTATTTGCACATCAATATTTTATGGTTTATAAAATCGTAACAAGCTTACCTGAATTAAGTATCTCTTGACCGGTGATTCTAGTTGTGTAATACACTTCCAAAGCCATCACCCCCTCCATCTCCAGCAGGTTTAAAATTAAACTTTCAATACAGTTGACACTATAATTGATGTCACACCCCAGCATTAAATAAATGGGTGAGCGAACCATGATGAAGACTTCTGTACCTGTATGGTCAGTGGTCCTTAGTAGTCACAGGGCACGCGTGTTGCAGTTTTGACTATCAGAAAAGGTAATAGAACTCCTTTTTCAAAAACATTTCCAAGAAGAACAATGAACATCACAGTTTTAAGAAAAATTGAATTAATAAATAACCAAAATTATAGTTATAAATATTGATTTTTCATTTCACTGGGACATTTTAAGACGAAAAACCAAAAGGGACCCTTGAAAAGGACCAAAATTGGTCATTCTTACTTTATTTTGTGCAACATGACATGCGTCGCAGAATTAAATGAAGATCTGGAATGGTAACACCCACCTGAACAAAAATCTGCATCCGCCCTTGAGGAAGATCACAAAGGCCCAGTACCTACCAGTATCAGCAAGTATTTTGGGGTGGATCTCTCGGCAGACCTCACATAGAAACATCATATCGATAGAGTACAAATATCAAACAAAGAAGGTAAACAGCACTCTTGAATCTTAAGATTTCTGATGGGGATACAAAGGCCCTAACACTTGTCCGCCCAAACCTGAAGTACTGCTCAGCTGTATGGAACCACTTGCGAGCTTATTGTAGACCCACATTATAGTGGACCAGTTCTGGCTGACTGGCAGTTTGGTACTTATCGGCGAATTGTCTGTCACCCGGGTTAGTAGTTTCAATTAAAACGGCTCATGAATAAATAGCATGCAGCACTAGTACTGCAGTTTCTCCATTGTTTCGGCTTTTTGTTCATAAAGGGTCTATCGTAGGCTTTTCGTTTTGACGATTTACCTTGTGTAGCTTAACTCTGTAGGTTTTTTCTTGAGTTCTTGTGGGTACATGGACATTTGGTATGTCTGTTCAGATCTTTTTACCTTTCTGTCAACCATCTTCTGTGTCGGCCTAGGCTGGGGAGGAGAAACAGAGAAGGATAGGATTTTAGTTATTTAGATAATAAATGATAAAAAAAACAGAGTGCATGCACCAGTTATTAAAATTCAAAAGCTATAATTGTGAGACTGGATGTCTTAACAATAAAGAATATGATGTTGGTAAAAAGGGAATTAAAAAGAGCCGAGGGAGTATTAGGTTTTCAGAATACGGTTATTTGTTACAGTATCGGATAAAAGTACATCACTGTATGAGAGGTGAAAGACTAACTCAAAGGAGGCTTGAAGTGTGAGATTTCAGTGTGGGATGATGCCCATTATGTCTTCTAGGGCTTAGACCCGGATGGGCAGGTGCGTATTCCAAGATACAGTACATGGGTGCTATCTAGAATGGGGTCAAGCTTGCATATACACTCTTGTATGAAATTAGTTGGAACTAAATGCACTCTCGACGAGTGTAAATGTTCACCACCATATAGCACGTGCATTACAAATATATCATATATAGTTCATGTCCACGTCTGTTTTTCTTAATTGTCAACTATGATGTGCTTTCCAAATTGCGGCAACCGCGCCACAGATTTATAAAAGTTTAAACAGGTAAAAAAAAAAGTCTTTAAAACACGCACGAGATATAAAAACAGTCCGTTTACAGTTCACCACATATACTATTACCATTACCACCCTATACCACCCTGTACCTGCTACAAAATGTAAATTCTCTGCTTGCACGGTCCGCAATAAGCTTGGTGAATATTAAAAAAAAATATGCTTACAATAAAGAAATATCATATTTATCAGTATATTTGAGACAACATAATTCATTTGATTATTTTTGACAACAGGGTATAATATCATGAAAAGTACTGTGACTGCGCATCTATAAAAACAAAAAACAAAATAGATGCTCCACCATTTGATGTCTATTTAAATAACAAAATCATTTTAAGTTGCAATATTCTCCGCTGTTTGACTGATTACTAACAACGCCCTTTGCAGAACCTTTTAATAAGCATGCGTTAGGTGTTACAGCCATCCAGAGATTTGACCAAGCTTATTTGATCGCGCATGTATTGCCATGTGTTTGAAATATTTATATATCTTATGAAGATGATATTGCAATCAATGGTGATATGACAATGATGTTGATGATGATGATGATGATGATGATGATGATGAATGATGATGATATATTTGAGTAAAAAATGTAAAAAGTATCTATAAGGATTTTTACAACATACATTAAACGTCAAAACATTGCAAGGGGGTCAAGTGGCTACCAAGAACATTTATAGCAATTAATATTTGTATTTTCAGCTTTTATAGTTGTTATATTGGGTAAAAGATTGAAATGCAAATAAATAATACTGGTGTGCTACCTTTTACTTCAAGGGAGACAACTCAATAACAATGTGGAATAATAACCAATCGCTATTGAGAGTTTTCGTCGCTCCGTTTGATAAGCCACTACTTCCTTTCCACATGTGAGCTGACAATTTCACCATCCGTCAACGATGGCTCACTATAATTTTAAGAAGATCACGGTTGTACCACCAGCAAAGGTAAGTCATTTAAGTGTGATATTTGACTCTCGGTTTTAGCGAATGAAATCAGACAGCTGCTATCCGAAAGGGACCAAAGAAATCACGACATAGTGTGTTGAAACCGTGACACTGTTTCTTTCTCGGCTTTCACGCATGGATTTTAGAATTATGGCTTATAAATTTCAGTCCACCAAATTTGACCTGCCCTTTCCTTAATATACTAACTATTTGTATAAATTCATGTTTAAGGTCCCCAAACCTACCAGCGATTACCAGGAGTATATTTAATCTACACGCACTTCATGTTTGTTTGTTATTGTTTTGATCACTGATCTGTATCTAACTAGGCGCTAGCCCGAGTTTCCTCAGACTCCAGACAGCCTGAGCTCTCTCTCCCGTGGGGCGTATACCTACCAAAGCCCTGTGTAAATATTGATTGTGATCAAGATCACCATACTTTTAGACATGTTGATATTCCACCCCGACAAATGCACCATACTCACAATATCACCAAAACGCACACAAATTAAACACCAATACACACTACATGACCACACACCAGAATATATAACTTCAAACCAATAATTTGGCATCACACTTCAAAACAACGTAAAATGGAACAAACGCATTAACAGCATTACATCCAGTGTTCCCGATCATGATCATGCAGAATCCTGCGTGATTCACACGTAGTAAACACCTTTGCACGCGTAAATTTATTATACTAAGCGTGATCGAGTGTACGCACAATAATTTCGTACAATGTTCAGTCGTTTTTGTAGCGTGTTTGTATTTTACATGATGATATTCAGAAAAGCGAAAGTGATTCTCAGATTTGTCAGAATTTCCCGCGAATGACGGAAGTCTGGTAGTAAACAATGCATGCAGCGCACCAAGTGGCGAAAAAATTACTACAGGAGGTAATGAGTGCACTGTCCTACGATAATACCCGAGTGCATAGCCAGACTATTGGTATCCTCGGGGCTGATTATCACTATACTGCGTAATTGATCATGAGTGACAGAAAAAAACAGCAGACGCTATTTGGATTTCTGTCGTCAGCTAAAGACGACAACTTTCAGTTCATGTTCTTACATAATGCTGTCTGTGCCCAGTGTGGGTTAGTGACATGATCTCTGTTTCTATAATACACAATGTTCATTCTGTAACTGACTAGTTCTTGGTGTTTTTATTCTATGACAAACCGGAAATATTATGTAATAAATAAAAACCTGTAAAAATGGCATTGCTACAATTAGTTAACAATTTTGTGATGATATTACATACCCATGGGGATTTAGATAAGGTGTACCCCTAATATATATGCAGCCATACCCCCATTTTGAGAGGCATGGGGTACAAAAAAAACCAATTACAAAAGTGACTGGGAACACTGACATCAAATGCAACCGAAAAACAAATTCACCACACATAAAAGAACATGCATATAAGGCCATTGTTAGACCAAAACTTGCAAACTGCTCTTAAGTTTGGGTCCCTCATTACACAAATAACATAAATCAATTCGAAAAAGTACCACGAAGAGCATAAGGATACGTCCTTAACATACAGATATGATGCACAACTTACAATGGCCAACACTACACACATGCAGAACAAGCATTACCCTTCTCTACAAAATAATAACCCAACAAGTAGCAATACACACTAACAATCTCATCCCGGCAGACACCAGAACACGTCAAGGACACGACCTTAGTTACAGACTTATCTACACATCCAAAGACACATGCAGACACTCGTTCTTTTCATGCACCATTACACAGTGGAACCTCCTACCCAAAACAATCATCCAATCAGAAACACTAGCAGAGTTCAGGACATGCACCACATATAACACAATCGAACAAATACAAATTGAAAACCTTCAATACAACTAACACTCACTGCTTTTAACCTGTTTTCATCCTATAGACAATTAAAAAACAAAACACTGTACATAACAACGCACTACAGCACAAGACCACAATTCCGTATTTGTCAATATTGATGGAGGAAGGTTTCAAGATGAAAATGAAGACAGATATTGTATATCTATGCTTGCTGCTGGTGCCATAGGAAATTCAAGATAATTTCCACCAAGGAGAATATTTGCTTACATATCTCATAAAAATATGTACAAGATCATTCGCAAGGGACCAGGTAGCAATGTTGCAACCAAATGGTAAGAGCATCTGTCAAATTTAGAGTTCGTAGATTATTAGTTTCCATTTCAGTTCGCATACAGTATCCGTTGTGCAATTTTGACCTCGGTACCACCGCAGAATTATCTAAGTCTGTGGTACCACCTACTGTATTCCTAAAATACAGTAAGCGTTTTAACTTCTGAAATATAAGAATAATATTAGTTACACAGATTTTTGGCAGGGGATACGGGGTGGTTTGGGCCTATCGGCCTCAGGAAATGTACGAAACCCTTTAGGGTCATACCATCCCGTATACCCTGCCAAAAATCTGTGTAACGAATTTATTACCCCCTTGAGTCTTTTATAATAAAAACAGAGAAAAATAACAGGCACAGTACCTCATTTAGTTTCGTTTTATCAAATTCCTCGGACTGTTCTTCCCGATTCTTTTCTTTTAAATACGTCCTCAGCATGTTTGCCGCTCGTCTGTTCGACTTTTGTGTGTTATGTGGCACATAGTTAGCCCTTTTTGCGAGTATTTCCTCATCAGTATGCGAAGTTTTTAACCATTCAGATTCCTAGATTTTTCTCAAAGGGGTAATAAAGTCTGACATATATATATATATATTATATGAAACTTTTGTTGTTCTCTTTCAGGACTTTGTTGACATTGTTCTATCCAAAACTCAACGTAAGACCCCAACAGTAGTGCACAAACACTACAAGATCTCCAGGATACGGACGTTTTACATGAGAAAGGTCAAGTTTTCCTCTCAGACATTTCATGACAAGTTGACACAGATTATCCAAGAATTTCCTAAACTTGACGTAAGTATATGACACGGACAACTGGTAGATGGTCACATCATATAAAAGATGATTAAGGCCCACAGGCCACACTCAATCCCACTTAATTTGATTTCAATATTTGAGATTGTGAATGTGTTTTACAATTAATTTTCAAGATTCTTGTTTCACTTTACTCTATTTGTAGACCTATCCAAGAAAAGGATAACTAACCTGATAAATCATATTTCAAAAAAACGATCTTTCCCCTATAAATATGAGCATAAAACTATTCTACAGGAACAGTTCAACTGTGAAAAATGTCAAAAAGTTGTACTGGTTGATAAACAGATGAATACTTTCTTGATTTTTATCAGCTGAGTGATTTAATTCACAGAACATTATAGAATTGGTAGCTAGAAACTTATGGCTAAGAACACCACCATTTCTATTTTGCCTAATTATACTATGATGAATGTAAAGCAATAATAAGTTTTTCCAGAATCCTATTTAAGGTGAAAAAAACCCAAACAGAAACACATAAGATTCTGAATAGTACCATAGCCAATTTATGTACTGACATTATGTTGCTGGTGTTCTCAGGATGTCCATCCGTTCTATGCCGACCTGATGAATGTGCTGTATGACAAGGATCATTACAAGCTCGCCCTCGGCCAGATCAACACTGCTCGACACCTTATTGACAAGTACGATCTCGGCATCACCTAGCACAATCAGAATCCACTATCAATAGCTTGTCGGCCATTAATTATAACAGTCTCTCATAACTTAAATGTTATATTCCTGCAACTTGAATACAAAAGGCAGTAAAGACATGTTGTAACTAGGGAATGACCCTTTTGCAATATCCTGGACTTATTTTAAAATGTCTTAAACCATGTTTAAAATGACAATTTGTATGGGTGTATTTCAAGTCATACTAATGATGAGTAATGGAAACCATGTATTCAAACACGATGATGCAATTTCAAAGGTGTAAGAAATTAAAAAATCGTTAAAAATTAATTTACAAAATTGAACAAGTGATTGATAGTTTGAAAGAGTGAATGACTGAACAAATCTGGATTTTGCTGGTTATATTATAATATTGACTTTTCCTATTTGAGTTTAAATGCATCAAATTTACTGTAAAATATTGCTATATATCTGTAATGAGATGTACTGTTATATAATAGATCTATTGTAAAATTTTGTACAAGATGTGATTAAGATGCTTAAAATATTTTTGTCAATATTGTTTCATCAGAACTTTGTCTTGCTATATGAAATATAACATTTGATCTTTGTTGCAGTGTGGCCAAAGATTACTACCGACTTCTGAAGTATGGCGATTCCTTGTACAGGTGTAAACAGCTCAAAAAGGCTGCTTTAGGAAGGTGAGTTTATTGACACTTTCTGCTTACTGCCAAGGTTAAGAATTAGTTAACATGATAAAACACTTTATTTCTGAAAAAATAATTTTCTGTAAAAGCATGTATACTTTTTGTCGCAAATACATATCAGTGTGAATCATCTAATAATGTTTAGCAACAAACAGGTTATTGATACTTTTCTAATGGGGATAGAATAAAAATGTTCACAAAATATAACTATGGAGATTCATTGAGTAAGATTTCCCACCTGATTTTCATTATCAGCAGTTGAGGCACTGTAGTCTAGTGGTAGGACGCGAGGCGCATGACCGAAAGGGTGGCAGGTTGAGTCACGTCATGGCACCGTGTTGTATCCTTGAACAAGATACTTTACTCCGCTTGTTCCAGTCTACTCAGCTGTAAATGAGTATGTGGTTGGGCAGTGCTAGAATTGTTGAATGCTAGCTGTGAGCGCTGAGTTGAGAAAGATAATGGCTGGTTGCAAAGGCCCTATAACCATGGATAATAATTTGCAAACCGCTTTGAGACGACCCACAAATTAAGTTGTGATAAAGCAGTATATAAGAACCTTGAATTATTATTATTATCTGGCAATATTACAGGATGTATACAGTTATGTTGGTGTATCACTTACAGAATGTATCACTTACAGAATGTGTACGATTATGAAGCGTCAGAAACAGAGTCTGGAGTACTTGGAGCAGGTCCGACAGCATCTCTCCCGCCTTCCCTCCATAGACCCCAACACCAGAACACTGCTCATCTGTGGCTTTCCAAATGTCGGCAAATCCAGCTTCATCAACAAGGTAGGACTCAGTTAGGTACCAGAACAGGGCTAACAGTGATCTCTTAGAATTTTACTGGTCACAAGATTAGCTTGGTTTAGGAGTTGAAATGGTTAAGTGAACAGTAGAAATACATTATAGGTTAATTTTAGGTGAGAGCCATTCCAGAACTAACTGGAGGAGAGGTTAATTTTAGGTGAGAGCCATTCCAGAATTACCTGGAGCAGGAGTAGGGAACATTTACATGTTTTTTCAGATGTGATGTTATCAGTATTTTATATAAGAAATGGAAGGCAGGGATTTAACCACTTATTACCCGTAATATATTGATAGATTTGCTCCCAACCACTTGTGTATAATAAGTGATGGAATAGCCCTCAGGTTGTGTACATCATTTCACTTAAACTTTGTGTTTTGATCTCATCACACTTTCAAAGTTATACTGGATGCTATTTAAGTTGTTAAGATGTGTAAGAACCAGTGAAAGAGGGTAAGGAGTGAACTCAATTCAATGTTAATTTTAGTTTCCATGGTACTTAACAGCAAGGTTCATAGAGTTACCTCCCTTCGCACATGTATTGCATGGATATTTCATTTATGTGTATTGATTCTTCTTTCAAATGTAAAAAAAATCAGGTATGAAGTCCAGATCTGACTGACCTGTTAAGTTAATATATGCCTGAAAATGTGTAGCTACTGCTGACCAGAAAAAACACCAGATCACTAGGCCTATCTCCATGTTAGACAGATCTATAAATGAGTGCTCTACTCTCATCCAGCCAATCAAACCTGATAAACCAGTATACCTACAGAACAGAATGTGTTATACTTTCCTTGTTACAGATCACACGAGCAGATGTGGAAGTCCAACCCTATGCATTTACAACCAAGTCCTTATTTGTTGGACACACAGATTATAAGTACCTACGCTGGCAGGTGTGTAAAATGTAGCGAATACATGTTCATATTATTTGTGTGTGTACAGTAGTAGAGTTATGTGTATGCAATATATATATATATTTATTCCTCTGTTTAGGAATTGCCTTAGGATATTTAGTCCACAGTATTACTTAGAGACAAGTGAGATTGTGCATCTAGAATGATGGGTCTTAATTGGACAATAAAGCACAAAGTTTGGTAGATTTTCAAAAATGCTGAAATTTGAATTAAAAAATGTAGCCACACTAAAAAAATGGAGAACAGAAATTGTACTCTTGGTGTAACAAAACATCATGCTCCAGATGTGATCACATCTAAACATTTGCCCGATTCAAATGAGACAATGGAGTATTGTAAGATCTCCACAACAAAACTGGAACTATGAAGAATATAAAGCTGTCTCATCCTTTAAATGCCTTTGTTTTTTAAAAGGTAGTCGACACACCTGGAATTCTTGACCACTCGTTGGAAGACCGAAACACAATAGAGATGCAGGCCATTACAGCTCTCGCCCATCTACGGTCAGCCATCCTGTACATCATGGACGTATCGGAACAGTGTGGTCACTCACTAGAGCAACAGGTAACAGGTCAAGTTTGGATTTGGTGGCCTCAACACCTTTGTATACTTCATGATTCCTTGTCAAAAGCCCAGATTATTCATATTCATCTTACAAAATGATTGATACACACTTCTTAACATAAATAGTTTGAAGGAGCATCTTAAAAGAAATTCATATTTCATTGTTTACTTTAGACTTAAATTTAACAGAATTTCGTTAATCAAAGTTTTTATATAGGAAAGTGTTTTGGAGTTTTAGAAAATTATTCAGTGAAGGAAATTTTCCCTGACTTCCATGATACTTTTCTATGGATTATCCTCTGTTAAGGAATTGCCTTAAGTTGAAGAATATTCGTGGAACGTGGGCTAGATCAGTCATGTTAACTATCATGCATTCTATCCATCTATATAATATTTAAGAGAGTACACATTTTAGCTTTAGAGCCTGTTGCCTTACAGATTTAATCGGTAGTATTCTTGAGACCCAATGGAAATTATACTCATAGGAATGGTTCTTCTCTGTATTAAAAAAAAACCCCATGTTATTATTGACTTGCAAATCTTGTTCCTCTTTTCAGCGTGACCTCTTCAGCAGTATAAAACCTCTATTTACAAACAAACCTCTAATCATCGTAGCAAACAAAATTGATGTTACAAAAATAGAAGACCTTCCAGAAGAAAAAAAGGTAACTGTTTCATGTGCTATTTATATACTGATGTTATGTTAACTCAATACTGAATAGATTTTAGAAGTTTCTTGCGTAAACCATAAAATAAATACCTTTTCTTTTATTCAAACTTGATTGGTAATCTGATATTTGCTATCATTGAAGTTTTCATTCATCATGTGTAAACAATTATATTGGAAATAGAAGGACGTCTGTTTGAAAACATCTCGCAGTGAACTGATTAGATTGACTCTCCATCTACAGCAGGTTTTGTATTCATGTGTTTGTTTTATTCCCAGCAAATATTTACTGATTTTGAAGCGGAGGGAATCCCTGTGTTACATATGAGTACCCTGTCTGAGGAGGGCGTTATGAAAGTTAAAACAGACGTAAGTAACCCTGCTCTGATGTACCAAATTCATGTGAGAGTGACACATTCTAGTTATTCGCCTGTTTGTCTATTTTTTGGATGCCTTTTTTCTGAAGTGACATTCACAGAAGTTGATCACCTATGAAAAACTGTCTTTGTTAAACCTGGACAGATGTCGAATCACTTTGACTTTTATAATGATCAAGACAGTTATTTCTTCATTTGAGACCGTATGTCATTCAAAATCCTAAATAGGGTGATAGTATTGGACTGGTTACAGGCTAATGTTGGTACACATGCTCAATTTTCTCGTACTAGGAGTAAGAGAAAAAGAGCTTGAAATTATTAGAAGTTGTATTAAATTATATATTTTATTGCGAGTCTTTTATATGCCAGAATCATCACATGATGAGTATTTCCTCAAAAAGTTATCTATCAACGGTTTTGATTTTCCCACAGGCATGTGAAAGACTTTTATCTCACAGAATACAGACGAAAATTAAACTGAAGAAAGTGGCAGATGTGATGAACAGACTACACGTTGCCATGCCAGCTAAACGAGACAACAAGGTACTTAACAGAATAATAATAATAATAATATACAGCGTTTGATATAGCGCCCTATCTAGCTAACATACACCACTCTAAAGCACCTTACAGCGCCCTATCTAGCTACCATAAGCCACTCCAAAGCACTTTACAGTGCCCTATCGAGCTAACATAAGCCACTCTAAATCACTTTACAGCGCCCTATCTAGCCAACATAAGCCACTCTAAAGCATTTTACAGCGCCCTATCTAGCTACCATAAGCCACTCCAAAGCACTTTACAGTGCCCTATCTAGCTAACATAAGTCACTATAAAGCAGTTTCAAGCGCCCTATCTAGCTAACATCAGCCACTCTAAAGCACTTTACTGCGCCCTATCTAGATAACATAATCCACTCTAAAGCACTTTACAGCGCCCGATCTAGATAACATAAGCCACTCTAAAGCATTTTACAGCGCCCTATCTAGCTACCATAAGCCACTCTAAAGCACTTTACAGTGCCATATCTAGCTAACATAAGCCACCCTAAAGCACTTTACAGTGCCCTATCGAGCTAACATAAGCCACTCTAAAGCCCTTTACAGCGCCCTATCTAGATAACATAATCCACTCTAAAGCACTTTACAGCGCTCTATCTAGATAACATAAGCCACTCTACAGCTCTTTACAGTGCCCTATCTAGCTAACATCAGCCACTCTAAAGCACTTTACAGGGCCCTATTTAGCTAACATACACCACTCTAGAGCACTTTACAGCGCCCTATCCAGCTAACATACACCCCTCTAAAGCACTTTACAGTGCCATATCTAGCTAACATAAGCCACTCGAAAGCACTTTACAGCGCCCTATCTAGATAACTTAAGCCACTCTAAAGCACTTTATAGCGCCCTATCTAGCTAACATCAGCCACTCTAAAGCACTTTACTGCGCCCTATCTAGCTAACATACGCCACTCTAAAGCACTTTACAGAGCCCTATCTAGATAACATAAGCCCCTCTAAAGCACTTTACAGTGCCCTTTCTATCTATCTTAAGCCACTCTAAAGCACTTTACTGCGCCCTATCTAGCTAACATACTCCACTCTAAAGCACTTTACAGTGCCCTTTCTATCTATCTTAAGCCACTCTAAAGCACTTTATAGCGCCCTATCTAGCTAACATAAGTCACTATAAAGCAGTTTCAAGCGCCCTATCTAGCTAACATCAGCCACTCTAAAGCACTTTACTGCGCCCTATCTAGCTAACATACACCACTCTAAAGCCCTTTACAGCGCCCTATCTAGCCAACATAAGCCACTCTAAAGCATTTTACAGCGCCCTATCTAGCTACCATAAGCCACTCTAAAGCACTTTATAGCGCCCTATCTAGCTAACACAAGCCACTCTAAAGCACTTTATAGCGCCCTATCTAGCTAACACAAGCCACTCTAAAGCACTTTATAGCGCCCTATCTAGCTAACACACACCACTCTAAAGCACTTTACAGTGTATAGTTGTACATTTAATACAATTAGCATATACAACTTTGAGGATTTTGCAGGAACTGCCTATCTAGATAACATAAGCCACTCTACAGCTCTTTACAGTGCCCTATCTAGCTAACATACACCACTCTAGAGCACTTTACAGCGCCCTATCTCGCTAACATAAGCCACTCTAAAGCCCTTTACAGCGCCCTATCTAGATAACTTAAGCCACTCTAAAGCACTTTATAGCGCCCTATCTAGCTAACACACACCACTCTAAAGCACTTTACAGAGCCCTATCTAGATAACATAAGCCACTCTACAGCTCTTTACAGTGCCCTATCTAGCTAACATCAGCCACTCTAAAGCACTTTACAGGGCCCTATCTAGCTAACATAAGACACTCTAAAGCACTTTACAGCGCCCCATCTAGATAACATAAGCCACTCTACAGCTCTTTACAGTGCCCTATCTAGCTAACATCAGCCACTCTAAAGCACTTTACAGCGCCCCATCTAGATAACATAAGCCACTCTACAGCTCTTTACAGTGCCCTATCTAGCTAACATACACCACTCTAGAGCACTTTACAGCGCCCTATCCAGCTAACATACACCCCTCTAAAGCACTTTACAGTGCCATATCTAGCTAACATAAGCCACTAAAAAGCACTTTACAGCGCCCTATCGAGATAACATAAGCCACTCTAAAGCCCTTTACAGCGCCCTATCTAGATAACATAAGCCACTCTACAGCTCTTTACAGTGCCCTATCTAGCTAACATCAGCCACTCTAAAGCACTTTACAGGGCCCTATTTAGCTAACATACACCACTCTAAAGCACTTTACAGTGTATAGTTATACAATTAATACAATTAGCATATACAATTTTGAGGATTTTGCAGGAACTGCCTTATCAGGCGGTAACTACTAGTCCTATGCCACCTAGCTAATACCTGGAGGTGTATTGTGAATAATATGCAGATAAAGTTCTGAAATCATCTACAAAGGTTAATGGTGCCATTTTATATTCTTACTGTGTATTTCAATTTGTTTTGAAAATAAAACATTAAGCATTATTGTTCGTTAAGGACAGTGAGATCCCTGGATTCTGTATGTAGCATGGTTATAAATACTATATATATGTAATCAGTAAAGTTGTATGTAGCATGGTTATAAATACTATATATATGTAATCAGTAAAGTTTGCTATCAAATGTTACAGGAAAGACCGCCATATATACCACCAGGAGTTCAAAAGAAAGAACAGGCAATGGACACAGGCATCAAAAAGAAAACAGTAAGTTTCTCTTACTAGAACTGGACACTACAGTGAAAATATAAAATGATAGTTATATAATAAGAGGCTGTCTCAAAAAATTTAAGGAAAAAAGTATGACGTTTTTAAATTATCATAAATTAATCTGTTTGTTGAGATTCTTTTAGAGGTTATGAGAAAAATGAGAATCTTTTTATGATACAATTTTTTTTTATTCCCAAGGAGCGTGACCTGGAGCTGGAGCAGGGAGACGATTATTTCTTGGACCTTAGGAGTAAGTAGTATTGTACTCTTAACTGAACGATAACGTCCTGTCTCTAATCTTGGTCTTAGAAGTAAATGTTAGAAAGTACCCCTGTGATATTGTGATGTCTCTGGGTGTAGAAATCTAGTACCCTCTACTTGGCTTTATTATCCTGTCTTGATCATGAGGGTAAGTGTAAGAATGATGCACCTGCTGTAGAACTGTGATGTCCCGAGTTTTCCAGGGGTCATAGCGATTCCATTGCAAGTATCGCTGAGCATTTTTGTCAAATCTCCCGGGTCTCTACATGGGCACCAATGTAACAGAGGTCATTAGTTTTTCAATGCCTCCGCCACGAGATGAACCTGGGACCTCTGGCTTACTAGTCTTAGACTCTACCGAATGAGCTAAAGAGAAATTCTCCCTAGCTGAGTCGGAAGGAAGTGGTTAGTATTTTACCAGGGTGACAGTTGGAATCTAGTACCCTCTTCTCCGCAGTACTGTCCTGTCTCAATCTTTAGGAGTTACTGTCAGAATCTTACACGCACTGTGAAACTAGGATGCCTTGAGATCTTAGAAAAATGAGAGTTAGGATCTTGTACCTCTACTGGGTGATACTGTTTATGGATTTTAGGGGTGTGAAAAAAGTCTACTCTTGTTTGAAAAAAGTTGTTTAGACATTGTACATTTTTTTTACAGAATCATGGGACTTAGCCAAGAAAGAGGAAACATACGATGTCATCCCTGAGATATGGCAAGGTCACAACGTGGCCGACTTCATAGACCCAGACATTATGGAGGTGTGTATTCTGTCTATCTTGGTTTGGTTTGTTTGTGTTTTACGTCCTTGTAATAGAGATTCTTTCCTAAGGATTTTTTCCTTATTATGAAGAAAATATTCCTGTTCAGAAACATAATGTTAACATGAAGGTTTTTTTTAGATGCCTCCAGATTCGAGGTAATTTTCATAACCCCAAATACCAAGAGCATTGCTACAAAGTATGTGATCCAGATGTCTGCAGATACAATCCTGTGTTATTTATTTTTTACCATATAGGCGTAAGGGCTCTTCTAAATTAATCATGTAGGGAAGGTGAAAGATACCTGTATAATTACATTATGGGTGGTTGGTGTAAAACCATATCTGCCTATTATTTCTGATCTGTTATTTGATGGGCCATGGGATCTCTGAAAAAGTACATCCCATACAGGCTCATTCTGAAACAGCCCTAAGCAAAAGTGAGATTTGTAAATCTGATAGAAAAAAAGTGAACGTAAATTGCTGTATATGTCATTTCAGTTACAGTTTAAAAAAAAATAGAATGGTTTTATTCCTTGAAAAGATTCAGTCTGGTTAAGTTTCAACAATTCTGACTCCTTCTATCAGGAGGGCAGTCAAGGCAAAGGATTTAAAATTGTTCAGATATGTTTTTACAGACGGTGAAAAAACAAATGTACAACCCCACATAATGTAAGATTTACGCAGCATAGGGACTGGGAGAGCAACTTTAAAACAAATAAAGTTTCTGTAACAGATCGGAAACTAGCTAAAAAAATAATCAGTTCACTCTTCCTGCACCCTTTCAAATATAGTTTAACTTATATTTCATATTTCCTATATTTAAGAAACTTGATGCACTCGAGAGAGAGGAGGAGTTACGGGATAAAGCTGGTTACTATAACAACGAAAGCAGCGAAGAAGACGAGGAGATGAAATTTATAAGACGCACTGCTAAAAAGTGAGTTTGTATAATGTTTTAAGGTGTTGCCAGATGTAGAAAGAAAAAGATGTTGCTCATATACAGTTAACTGCACTGCCAGACCACTTAGATTTACAGTTTCCCTTTATTAATTGTAAACATTTAGATGTGCAAGTTGAAAGAAAATTAGCAGTTTTTGAAAAATCTAATCCCTAAGTTTTTGCTACAATTAAAAATCAAAAAGTTTAAAAGTATTGAACTTGCAAGATCAAGAATTATGTAAAAACATTTATTTTCATCAGGATTAAAGAAAAGAGGAAGATTATGATCGTCGAATCTAGAGAGAAGCGACGCATAAATAAACCACGTCTGCCCAAGAAAGCAACAAAGATTGACACAAAGGACATGGCAAATGACATGGGAGAAATGGGAGTGGAGGTCGAGGGAGGGGTGAGTAACCTTCCCATGTGGGGGGAGAAATGGGAGTGGAGGTCGAGGGAGGGGCGAGTGACCTCCCCTTGTGGGTGGAGAAATGGGAGTGGAGGGCGAGGGAGGGGTGAGGAACCTCCCCGTGTGGGGGGCGAAACGGGAGTGGAGGTTGAGGGTGGGGTGAGTAACCTCCTCGTGTGGGGGGAGAAGCGGGAGTGGAGGTCGGGGGAGGGGTGAGTAAACTCACCGTGTGGGGGGAGAAAGTGGAGTGGAGGTCGAGGAAGGGGTGAGGAGGGGTGAGTAAAGTCCCCGTGTGGGGGGGGAAATGGGAGTGGAGGACGAGGGAGGGGTGAGCAACCTCCCCGTGTGGGGGGGGAAACGGGAGTGGAGGATGAGGGAGGGGGGAGTAACCTTCCCATGTGGGGGGAGAAATGGAGGTTGACCTGGAGGGAACTGGGAGTGAAAGGCCCATTTCGTTTAAACAGTCAAACCAGTCAAACCACTGTTGTTCGTTGATTAAATAAGGTCGGACCTAGAAATCTGATGCTGCTTTCATGAGAGCCTTGACAAAGCATTACAAGGCCTGCATAAACAAACTCTAGGTCTAAGGGGAGTTGAGTTATCTCCTTAGACCTAGAGTATGTTTATGCAGGCCTCGTAAGGCTTTGTCAAGACTCTCCTGAAAGCAGCGTCAGATTACTAGGTCCAACCTTATTTAATAAACGAACAACAGTGGTTTGACTGGTTTGACTGTTTAAACGAAATTGGCCTTTCGCTCCCATTTCCCTCCAGGTCAACCTCCATTTCTCCCCCCACACGGGGCGGGTACTCACCCCTCCCTTGACCTCCACTCCCATATAACTCAACTCTCCTTATAGTCCGGCAGATTGGTGAATAATTGTGGGATCTTTAGTAGAAGCAGTTCCCCAAAATCTTCTGACATAGGGAGGTAATTTCCCATTTCAGATCTCCACTCCCATTTTGTCTTTATAAACATTTAATAGCTCATACAGGGGAGATAAAGGAACTCGTTCTTGACATACACCCCCACTCTGTCAATGTCAACCTCTGAATAGCCCAAATAGGGGAGATAACTCAACTCAACTCTCCTTATAGTCCGGCAGATTGGTGAATAATTGTGGGATCTTTAGTAGAAGCAGTTCCCCAAAATCTTCTGACATAGGGAGGTAATTTCCCATTTCAGATAAACACTCCCATTTTGTCTTTATAAACATTTAATAGCTCATACAGGGGAGATAAAGGAACTCGTTCTTGACATACACCCCCAATCTGTCAATGTCAACCTTTGAATAGCCCATATAGGGGAGATAACTCAACTCAACTCTCCTTAGACCTAGAGTTTGTTTATGCAGGCCTCGTAAGGCTTTGTCAAGACTCTCCTGAAAGCAGCAGCAGATGACTAGGCCCGACCTTATTGAAGAAACGAACAACAGTGTTTTGACTGGTTTGACTGTTTAAACGAAATGGGCCTTTCACTCCCAGTTCCCTCCAGGTCAACCTCCATTTCCCCCCCCACAAGGGGAGGGAACTCACCCCTCCCTCGCCCTCCACTCCCGTTTCGCCCCCCACACGGGGAGTTTCCTCCCCCCTCCCTCGCCCTCTAATCCCATTCCTCCCACCACACGGGGAGTTTACTCACCCCTCCTCACCCCTTCCTCGACTACCACTCCCATTTCTGTCCATGTCAACCTATAATACCTCATAAAGGGGAGATAATATAACTCAACTCTCCTTAGACCTAGTAATCTGATGCTGCTTTCAGGAGAGCCTTGACAAAGCCTTACAAGGCCTGCATAAACATACTCTAGGTCTAAGGAGAGTTGAGTTATCTCCCCTATATGGGCTATTCAGAGGTTGACATTGACAGATTGGGGGTGTATGTCAAGAACGAGTTCATTTATCTCCCCTGTATGAGCTATTAAATGTTTATAAAGACAAAATGGGAGTGGAGATCTGAAATGGGAAATTACCTCCCTATGTCAGAAGATTTTGGGGAACTGCTTCTACTAAAGATCCCACAATTATTCACCAATCTGCCGGACTATAAGGAGAGTTGAGTTATATTATCTCCCCTTTATGAGGTATTATAGGTTGACATGGACACCTTTATGAGGTATTATAGGTTGACATGGACAGAAATGGGAGTGGTAGTCGAGGAAGGGGTGAGTTATCTCCCTTGTATGAGTGTGTTGAGATATCCATGTGGGAAAATGGGAATGGAGGTCAAAGGAAGAAAATGGGAGTAACGTTCCTATCTCCCATGAGATTGTGGGGTCAGAGAAATGAGAGTGAAATACAAAACAGGGTAGAGTTCCCCAGTGTCTATTGGTGTGTGAAGCCTGACAGGGGAAAATTGAGTGGAGATCAAGGGTGGTTTGAGTTATCTCGGACATTCAGGCGCGAGAAGGCTGAAATGAGGTTACATTCAAACATATTTAATAGTATCCTAAAGATAACTTAAACATAGAAATATGAATAACTTTTGTGACTAATGACCTATGTGCTTGTGTTTTAGGCACATTTGGCCAGAGCCCGCTCAAGGAGTGCCAGTAAACAAGCCGTGAAGAGGAAGCGCAGCGAGTCCACCACAATGGTTGATACTGCCAAGACTAGGAGCCTGAGTCGCTCAAAGATGCCGAGGGACAGGTCCGGTGTTCGGGATGTTGTGGTTAGTATATTGAGGGGTTTTGATAGCGGCGCATTAAGGACTAGGTTTGACGATTGATGTTTTGTATCAATTCCCCAACATCATCATTTATCACTGGAACAATGAAAACAACAAAGATACTGTAAATAGTTTTATTTTGGTGTGGACTTTAATTTGGTGAACTATGCCTTTAGTGTTTGTTAAAAAAGATCTGGAAATGACGATTGAGAAGATGCTACTTTATTATTGATAACCATCGATGGAATTTTAATAAATTCTTTGTGAATTCATTTGAAAATTCGAAAAATATTATAAATGAAATAAATTTCTGTAAATAACAGTATCAAACCAAATTTGTTATTAACTCGGTCAACTGTCTGGCAGTTTACCTGTTCCTATCAGATTATGTGGTTCAGAATAGGGAATAAAATACTTCATTGAATCTATTGTATGGATTTTGTATCGTCTTTATCATACAGTCTCGTTTATGTACCCTAAGGGTTTTTCCAGTTTTCAAATATCCCCAATCACATGGAAGGCACTTTACTTTCGGGGTACCATAAAGAGGCTTGTTTATTATATTTTACATAAAAGTAAAAATATTCATGATTACACTTGACCTGAATCTATCGCTTTGCTTTGTTAAGTTTGATACGTTTCTTGAAATTTGGATTTAAACACCAATGTTATTTTGCAACTCTCATGCCTGTTCACGGTTACCTGTTCCAGATGGCCTCCAAGGTGAAGAAGATTGGAAGAAAAGCACAGGTACCGAGGAACAGAGAAGCCAAGAAGGGTGAGGGCGATCGTGTCATCCTTAACATGATGCCCAAACATCTGTACTCTGGGAAACGAGGAACTGGCAAAACTCAACGCCGTTAATAAATTATTATTGGAACAGCGGGAAAATTATACATGTTGACAAACATCTGTGTACGCTGGAAAAAAGAGGAACTGGCAAAACTCCATGCCGTTATGAAGTTATCTTTGGAACAGAAAAGATAAAATGATTTACAACATTGATAAACATCACTACACATTTTAATAATGGACACTAATGTCCTATTTGTTATGATGTCAGCAGCATTGATCATTCTTATGTAAGTGACATATAAGATTACTGTGTCGGTAGGAAAGGAATGTCCACATCGTGTTGGAATATCTTGTTTGACACAGAATTACCATGTGAAGAACGACAACAAAGCAATGAAAATAAAGAAAGCCACAATTTTCATTACTGACCGTGATTTCAACCACGATAACATGTCATGTTTTAATAAAGTGGTTTTTGTTATCGTGAATGACTCTTTGGCTTTTTTTTAAGACCATGTGGAGTATTTTGATAAGACACCTGAGATTTAAAACAATATGTATTTTGAAACCTTTTCTGAGGTTTATATTTAGTTTTATGAAATGGTTTAGATCAATGTCAACTAAAAATAACGCTCACATATAGTTGATAGGTTGGAAAGCTTTTGAAACAACATTAAACACCACTTGTGGTAGAGTGCCCCTCCCATTTCTGCTATATACCAAGTCATTAAAAACTTATTTTCCTGGTCTGTTTTCGTTTAAATGTCAAACCGGTTGGACCACAGTTGTTCGTTTATTAAATAAGGTCGGACCTAGTATTATGAGGCTGCTTTCAGGCGAGCCTTGACAAAGCCTTACAAGGCCTGCATAAACATTTGCAGGTCCTCCAGGATTTATTCCCGAAATTGTTACATTTATAAACGGTCAAATCGGTTGTTCCGCATAAACGAACAGGCCCCTGTTCAAGTATGTTATATCATTTATATTCATACAAAGATAAAGTCTTAGTTTAAAGTGTTATCCATTTTAAGGAAATTGAAACATTTAAAAATTATCCCAAGTAAGGCTTTTCTGAGAGTATGATGAAGATAAATTACAAATAGGTCCTTTACCAGTGTTAGCTCACAACCAGGCCACCAGTGTTGGCTCACAACCAGGCCCCCAGTGTTGGCTCACAACCAGGCCACCAGGGTTAGCTCACAACCAGGCCACCAGTGTTAGCTCCCAACCAGGCCACCAGTGTTGGCTCACAACCAGGACACCAGTGTTGGCTCACAACCAGGCCAACAGTGTTGGCTCACAACCAGGCCACCAGTGAGGTGAGCCACCAGTGTTAGCTCACAACCAGCCCACCAGTGTTAGCTCACAACCAGGCCTACAGCGTTAGCTCACAACCAGGCCACCAGTGTTGTCAGCCACCAGTGTTAGCTCACAACCAGGCCACCAGTGTTGTGAGCCACCAGTGTTAGCTCACAACCAGGCCACCAGTGTTAGCTCACAACCAGGCCTACAGTGTTGGCTCACAACCAGGCCACCAGTGTTGGCTCACAACCAGGCCACCAGTGTAGAGGTGATACTGCAGGAAAAAAATCTTATCAACAAATACATTGACCGGTGGGCAGTGGGTTAAGCTCCTTGCAGGTCAGAAGATCAAATAGTAGAGCTCAGATTTGGAATGAAATAATATGATAAACATTTTTCTTTCATATAATACTCTTTTCTATGGTTTTAAGTCGGGCAAAAGTGGCAAAAAAATGGAACTCTTTTGTTGGATACACCACCACAAAGGACTGGGATACTCCACCTTAACATTTTGCTACAATATTTTTTTTTGTAACTTAGAATTTTATTCAGATTTTTCAAACACATACGCATGACAAATAATGAGATACAAGTCTGTAAGTTATGACAGGAAAAGATGGATAATTGTACAGAACGATGATGATCATCTTATAGATTTCGTTTAACTCTAATCACTACACATCCTACATATAAACCTATTACACAGCCTTTGCCTGACTGACATTCATCATTAAACCATACACCCATTTTGCCTGCACCCATTCGTACATACAAAGTACTTATGGTCATGCGATGTGCTTTATGAGATAGAGAGAGATGGCACTATTTCCTATCTAAAATTCATTAGCAAGATTGAAGCAGTAAATATTAACAGCTAATTAATTTTGAGAGAAATCGGCAAGCACTGTAACAGCATTGAAGAAAAGAAATTTCCCCAATTTTGCTACAATAGTTACATAATTGTTTGGTGTGTAAAAGTTTGCTTGGTTGCATTAGAAAGATAGATAATTTTCCTTTCATTGCCATACATATTCACATAAACGTATCCTTACCATGTCATGATGTCACTTTCTTTTCCTTTTATAATGTCTATTTCGTGCTAACGACCTTTCACTTTGGTCAACCATATGCCATTTCACCATTAGCTCCAGTGGTGTTGGGTCGCTAGTTGGTTAATTTAAGGCGTCTATATTTAAAATGTTTTTTTCCTGTTTTTATTCAAACACTTGACATAGTAAAATGAGTACAAAATATTAAAAGAAACACAACGAATGATAAGATCAGACACAATATTCAGACTAAATTCTATAATTTATTTATCTTAAAGCATTAAAAAAAACCTCATTAAAACTCAATAAAACCTGTACAGGAAATGTAAGACATGGTGAATACACCTTTATCATTTTGATAAAACTATGAATCAACACCTATACAAGAATAGGTTTATTTAGAGAAATTTCAAATAAATGACAATGTTTTCGAGGACAAAGGCCAGCTTGAAAACTGAGTCAAAAGGCAACAAAGCAATTTTGGAGAAAAAAGATTTTACAATCTTACTCAAAATTCTTAAATTCTAGAAAACTAGGGTCATGATAGTTAACCTGGGGTATGAAGTTAAGTTTCCTGAAATGATTGACCTTGACCTACAAGGTCGCATGGGTAAGTTATGTGTTTATACAAGTTACACGTTTCCTGAAATTATTGACCTTGACCTACAAGGTCACACGGGTAAGTTATATGTTTAAAACATCAAGTAGTATTACACATTCAATTTTGAGAGTATAACAAATGGAAAGTTTATGTTGATATAAAAGCTTGGCCAGCATACAACTTGCAAATCACAGTAATGTCACTTTGTTCTGCGACTTTTAAATATTGATAGCTTTATCTGGACCGTACGTCACGTGTAAACCTTCCTAAAATCCTTTAAAATATCAAAAAATCTTCAATTTTGGCTCTAACAAAGTAATGAGAGGCTTCAGAATATCACAAATGATTCAATACTATGATATATGCTATATAATTTATGTCTTAAATGTCTCACGAATTTCTCACGAATTCAGAGAAAAAATCTCACTATTTTTTTTACCAAATCTCACTAAAAATAATCACTGATCTCACTATTTTGCACCGGAAAGGTATGGCATGTATGAGTAATGTCACTTTGTTCTGCGATTAAGTTCATTTAGTCTGTAAACAGTATGCTTAATACACACAGTAACAGTACTAGTGAGCTCTACATGCGCTCATTACACTTTTGAGAATACCAGAATACCGTTTTTCATAATCAATACCTATAGGAAGCTGACTCGGTATTAGGAGAGCTGACACAATTCTGTATAATTCCTCTGTAGGTTTGTTTTCGCATACTTCACAGCATCACATTCATTTCATTTTAAAATGATCTAAGCTCTTATAACAGGACGCTAAAACGAATAAAACCAATCCGACTTTTGGACTGTGCCAGGGTACTGACGTTCACAATATAACACAATGCAGTTCGTCAGAATGACAGTTTAATGATCGGAGATCCAGCGTTTGAACCCTGGTCGCTCATGTCAGGTCTCCAATCGGGAACCGTTGGCACTTTCCGTGAACAAGTATTTTTCTCGTTTACGGAAAGCGCCGACGGTTCCCGATTGTTCAGGCCTCGTGTCTTTTTACGCTCATGACGCTGTTTTTATTTTTTTGTTTCAATTCATCATCACTATTTATTCAATAAAAATTCAGCAGTGTATTGGTTTCTTTTTAGAAATTATTTATCAAAATCATAGTCAAGGCGGTAACCGTTTTCGGAGCGGTACGGGAATCGTTAAACATAATCATTAAGGAAAGCTGTGCCGCATTTGTTTTTATTTTGCTTTTGGGTGAAGACTAAGACTTTAATTGACAAGTTTGGTAAATGTCGTATCCAGTATTTCAGTTTTGAGGATGTTCTCCCGAAAGAAGTTTCTCTTTCTTCTTCCTGTTTGCCATACAAAGTCTGTAGCCCAAAGTGGCAATTTTAGTTCCAAGTGCCAATGATGCAAACACCAGGAGGCAAACCAGAAATACCGACACAGAAAATCTGAGTCTCAGGTCATATGACCGATACAGCATTCCACACAGGGTGACGATAAAGACGATGTACGGAGATAATGTCCACTGTGTGTAGGAAGGGAACAATACGTTGTCGAGGAAAAACCACGTGAACATTGCAGAGCCAAGCAGGGACAGCGCGATAAGACAGGACAGCATGTGTCCAACGTTCCACCGAAACGACATGCACATGCAGAGATTTATCAGGGTCGAAGTAACCAGTAATGCTCCATAGAATGCAAGACCTTCATGGATCAGGATACGGATCAGCCAGATATCCTTTTGAAGTTCAAGTCTCCTCATTAATGTGTCAAGGTCATGTAGATGCTTGTAAGCCAGACATAGAGACACAGACAATGAGAAGAATGAAAGAACTGACAAGATCAGCGATCCTTCCAGCACGTATTGATCAAACGCAATCAACCAACCAGCGTTGGCGAACAAATTTACCGCCATTAGTATCAACATGGCAGAAGGATAAACCGGAAGCTGGTAGATGTAGGCGCACGTGGTTTTACGGAAAATACAGACGATGACGTAAATTATCCACATTAGGTGCCAGATGTAGACCAACAGGTGGAACCATAGTACGAGAATGACGTCAATCGGGATTATTTCCAAGCGAAAGGTGTTGAAGGTTTCCACGGTACTTCTCTTAAGCATACCTACAAATAGAAATGGTTAAATACTGATACGGAGACACAAAAATCCAGGAGGTGGACAAACCGCCGGTGTTTCGATACCGTGTATGGTGATACGTATTTAATTCATGATGAATTGCATACATGAGAGAATTATTTTCAAACGCTATTGTTCACATTAAAAATGCACCTTTTTCATGGGACTGCTGATATGGTCTGGCGAGAGCTTCATGCATGATATATAACATGCTGTCATCTCAATCATGACAATACGACTATTGCTAAGTTAGAATAACGCAAACGGTGTACAAGGTATGAACCAGCCGACTCGAAATAAATAACGAAGTGTAACATCTATAGGTGGTCGAAATCGAAGTATTGTGTCCTGATGATTTTGTGTAAAACTATTCCAAGAGGCTACTTTTTTTGTCAATATTAGTTGCTGTTGGTTCCGTATCGTACACCAA